GTTCACATGCATAAGTTTTCGTGGGCAAGGGCAGCTGAAAGAAATCTGGAACCTCTGCAAGCTTCAACCGGGTTTCAGCAAAAGGCAAGAATTCTGGATGGAGCAGGCGAATCAGCAAATCTGATCCGGCCAAACCTTCACCAATATTAATATATATCGTGTTCTCACCTGCCTCCTGGCAAAATTGTCTGAAAGGGTGTATGCCCCGTGTCGGTCGCCTCCGAGCCAAAGAACCTCGGCAACAGTCACCTTGGACACTTTTGGAAGTGATGGCACCTTTCTGCAAAATGCATCTGTCCCATATATCTCCCTGTCATACTGCGCCGCAACATCGCTGCCAAAGTTAACTCCGCTGCAACTTTCCGTGCCAATAACAAGACATCTTCGTCATCATCTGACACATCTGAATTGAGGAACCAAAAACCCAAAAATCTCTGAAAGGATACTATCGGTCTGTTTCCAGTACATGAAGGCGGAAACCCAGTTTCCCGCGAGTCTGGATGCAAAAACTCGAGAGATGCATGGAAACCAGGCAGTTTGAAAAAATGAGGCAAATCATGGGGATCCGCTTTGCTGCAGGTGCGCCAAGAACTACCTGAAAGGACACCAGCGCCTATATTGTGTTCTTATCAGAGGAGCCAAAGACATCACCGCTTGTATGTTCCCTCAGCCCTTTCAAGAAGGGAGGCAGAAACAGGGTCAAGGTTCAGAAAGTTAGCTAGTTCTCGCGAAACAAGAAGTGGTCAATCACAACACCTTGTCAAACAGTGCTTCTTGGAAACGGGTGGTGGCAAAAAACGAGACTCTTCTGGTCAACAAACCCGACTTCTTGTAACATCTGTTAATGGCTGGCCGGTGCATACTCAACACCTAGACTTAAAGGGTCTGCTTGGAAAAAAATCCGGAAACCTGCGTAGACCTGCTTGACATCTTCTGCGACATGGACCGTTCTTGGTCTCATACTGTATCGATCACCATCCTTATCTGTGCAATCAGGCCTCGAAATCTCAACGAAATGTCCCTGGCCCTCCCAACTCCTCCGGTGGAAAAACAAGAGGAAGGATGTTGGTGGCTGGCTGCTCTCTCTTTCGCGGGATACTTTGCCTGGTGATAACAATCCTTCCTGTCGGAAGCAGGGCCAACAATCTTGAACTTTGTGGGACCGTGGATGTTACGGCGGCCGGCAGGAAGATAGGCTGAGTGTCCACATGGGTGTCTTTCCCGTGCGTTGGCCATGTCACCTCAGCATTGTGCCGGAGCACACTTGGCTCAAGGTATCGTAGCCAAACAATATCAGTGAGGAAACGTTCAGGCAACCATTTGCCAGTGCCTGTGTTGCTCCCTTCGCCAGGGGGGGGGGCCACTTCCAGGCTGCAGTTCACAGAAGATGTTGAATTTGTGAGGCGCAAAGAACGCTGGCTGTCGACTAGGGTATTAGAAGTTTACCTGCGCAACGCCTCATTTGCAACTTTGCAACTTATTGTCATCGAAGCCGTGCCGTGCCAAGATATCCTGAGAAAAACCAAACTTGTCAGTGAGAACCATTTTCCAGAGAACCGTTGCCCAGAACTATGGAGATGCTGGGTGTAGGGGTATGTGAGCCACAGAGACAGCTACAAAGATTGCGCTGTTTCACTCACAGCGCTACCCTTGCAGCATGTGGAAAAGAGCAATGGAACTTGATGTGTACCCACTGTGAAATGCATTGTCGCTCAAATTGTACCACGCCCTGAAATTGTCCGGTGGAAAAGAGCAATGGAACTTGAGGTCTTGCCCTGTAAAAAGAAGGCGGCAGTCTCACCCCTTTTCACGCACAATTTGACTTTGGTTTGGTTGGACAAGTCATTAATTGACTTCTGGCCTTGCTGTAACGCATTTTTGTCCCCAGCTGTGGATATTGTGCTGAAACTGAGGTTGCGACTGTGGCGCGAATATCTCCAAGAGCTGGTTCCCGACGAGGACGTTTTTGTGGTGGTAAGGAAGTATCATCTACCAAGGGGCCCGGACGAACTATTGGTAGACCAATCAACTTGCCCATTAAGGCTCGCGACCAGGCACGCCGTACTCATGAACCCGAGATTGAAGTTCCTGCCGCGAGCTGATTTGCCAAACCAATGAAGTCATCAACCAGTGTGAAACCTTTCCATTTCTGAACCGCAATGTCCTTGTCACAGCTGAACCAATGGGGACAAGAATTGGTCCAGATTGAGCGTACCATAGGCACCCACTTGGTTGTACCATAATGCGATTTTGCCGACCGAACTGTGCAGAGGCAAAGAGCTGACAGAGCTCGGGTGACATTCCCCGCGTCCTGGTGCAGCGTCTCAACGCATGCAGCTTGAAATTGTCAAAGTGAATGCGCCGAGTCAGAATATAAGGCTCGGCATTTTTTGTTTGAGGGCATGCTTTCAGTCTTTTGGTTCGGAAACTTGTTCAATTTCCATTGCGTGATGCTAGCGGGAGCAGCCATCCCGATTGCTCCGATTTGTTTCAAACAAATTGTGTTTCCTGATGGCACGGGCGTTGCTGCTGCGAAACCACAGAACATTCAGACATGTGATCGGAGGCGTCGGAGGTGCAACGAATGAATGTTTAAATAGCAGTCAATTTTGAAGTATTGAGTTTCAACTTCTGGGTCTAGGACTGGTGCGTCGCAGTTTGCCCAGCCCAGGGATATAAGAACAGCACCTGGACTTTGGCAGCCGGGGTTAAGCATTCACGGGTGTGCTGGGACAAACTATGGATGAATGATTCCTGTCAAATTTTTGGATTTTTTGCCGTGGGTCCCCCGCATATTCAAGCAGCTTGCTGGCGAAGCCTCTGGGGGAAACGGCTGCGTCAAAGGACGTCAACCGGAGTTGTAAAACAAAATCGTATTGATTCGTCTGAATGAGATTGCACAAAATCATGACAACATCCTAAAACAAACATTGCGAAGGCAAGACGACGAACAGGTTGAACAATTTTTCTATTTTGGATGGGGGCCCGTGGTTGCAGCCCAGCGAGGTTAAATACGACGAACAACACATGGCCCAAGACGTCACATTGCTGCACCCTGCGGTAGATATCAACCACGGAGGCGCTGCCACGAATAATTCGCATCTGATTTGTTAGAATCGTAGAACTACCTTGACGGATGATATTGGAGTAAATTGGATGAATTTAGATGAAATTTGTTGGTTGGACTAGATCGGCAAGGGTCACTACGACATGCCCCCCCGTTTGTTTCATCCACTCGGGGTCCTTGGGATGGTGCCGACACAAAAACCCGGTACCCCTATTTTTCATACATAACATGTTTTGCAATTTGTTTGGCCATTTCATGGAACATATTTGTGTGAAATGAAACGCCCCCTTGAGTTTGCGTATTTGATTCGAAACCACGACACAACCCCTCAGTACATGGCCCCCTTCAGCCTGATGCGTTATTGTTTTCGCATGTGATCCCTTGGATGGCAGCCGCACACACCGTGATTCATCCTCAGGATAAAAAATGTGCAATTGTCACAGAATTGAATTGTTTTTTTTTTTAAACGCTATGTGCTACCCCTCTGTTCTACATTCGAAAAAAACCATATGACGGCCCCATCCCCATTTGAAGAGTTAGGGACTGGGATAAACAATGGGGAATGAACGCGCATATGGATCGGGAACACCTGGTGCTGTAGGGTCTCCGTTAGTGCATTTGCGCTGTCAATGCTGGCAAACCACAAGTCCAATTCCTCAACCGAAGGTGTACCACAGCCACAGACATTTTCCAGAACAATCATGGCATCATCGATGCAAATGCCTCTTCAAAAACCAATCTAAGCAGGATGCTGTTCCTTTCCAAAAAGGGAACCAAACGATGCAACAGCAAGGCAAAAAAAAATGTGTACGTAATACTGCATTGGTGGGTCGTCAGTTGTTGGGTTTGGAAGTGTCCTAGTTCTTGGTGTTCAAGAACTTATTTTGCATCCAACCGTTTGCTCAAGAAAAGATCCAAGGTTTCATTGGGAAATTTATGTTCGCGTACCTTCATGACCACCCATGTTTTGCGCCACCTTTTCTTGTGTATATATATATATAAATATATATACACATGCATATGCGTATGGTCAAATGGTCAACGCAGCGAACCAGGAACCAACATATGATTTTATTGCTGTTGGTGTGGAGGATTATGGTGGGTCATTGTTTGTGCTTAACATCAGATTTTGAGAAAAAACGCGTTGGCGACAACTTGTAAGTCATTGCCCAACACTATTGCTAACGACCGCCAGTCATTGCCAGTCATAGGTTATTGGTCAGTGATGGGCGGAAGGGGCATTGTTTTTTTGGTTATGCAATTGTGACTGGTTTAATTGCTGCAATTATGATCAGCCATCACCACCGCCATCACGACAATCACCACCACCATGTTCGATGCTGAACATTATACTTGCAATCTGTATCGTCACACTCCTCCTGCCCATCCCCATCGCTATATCCATCATCGTGATTGTCGTGGTCATCTTCCTTGTGATGATCGTGGTGGTGGTGGTGATGGTGGTGATGGTGGCGGTTGTCGTTAGCATCCTCATCCTCTTCCTCTTCCCCTGCCTGCTTCCTCGTCATCATCTTCATTATCATCCTCATCCTCATTCTGAGGGGGTGCAATCCTGCACCTAGCTGCGTTTCTAGCATCAGGGCCCATAAAAGAATACTCATGGTGTGGGATGTTTTTTCCGCTTGAAATTGGAAACATCATCGAACACCATTTTAACGGTGCAAATGAATCCAGAAAATGCAGAATGTCGGTTGTTTGCAAGTTCTGTCTGGTTTGGCTCAAAAGCCCGTTTGGCTTTTGACTTAGGTGATGCGACTGCCTGGTGACTGGTGGAAACAGAGAACAGCATCATCAGCCATATGCCATAGGCACATTGCACAGTACATCACAGTACTGCAAAGCAATCAGCCGTTTCGAACCTGTGTAGATTGGGAAAGGGTAGGCAGTCGCCTTTTTTTTGACCTTCCGAGCCATGCCGGCAGCGCAGTCGATTTGCGACATTAGCAACTCCGGAAATTTGTTGGAGTTTGGTTTGGATCCGTTTCTTGGTGTTGCAATTTCACGCATGATTTGCATAGGATGTCGTATGTTGATCCATTAAATTGTTTGACACTTAGTGGTCAAAAAGTCATTCCTAGAATGAAGGACCGAAGTCTTTGGACACATTTTTCGTTCCATCGTTTCCTTGATGCAGATCGTTTGACCAGGTTCTACCGGCCCGCTGATTCAAAATCACTTGGCGTACAAACTGAATTCAAGGATTCACCGCAGCTGCTGCTTGGGCAAAACATATACGGAAAAAATATTTTGATTGGGAATCAGAGCCATGAATGGCTTCCTGTTGCAGTATCAATCAGCTGGTTTTCCGTGGATTGCAGGGAACACGCTAGCTTCAGGTCACAGGAAGAAGATGGTGAGTTCTCTGAGATTGCCAAACCGGCTGCTGCATCTCAGATACTGAGATTTGCGATAGGCCAGGTCGCGTACGTGATATCACGTGATCAAGGCTTTGCCAAAGTATCCATTGCTTCACAGGCTTTACAGGCTTCACATCGTCCCATTGTCCCCTTTTGTGTGTAAACAGTGTCCAACGACGTGCGATTCTTGGGCTGAGTCAGCTGAGTGTTCACCTGCCATGTTTTTCAATGAAATCAAGTGTGAACCGCGTAACAGCGTAACACTTGAAATCTTGCGAACCCGCACTGACACCCCGAAAACATGGAACCCTACAATTGGTCCCAACACGAACCAACTATACTCAACGATGTTTGATGTTGAGTCTTAGCAACAGAAGTAAAAGAGAATAATCACAAGGTGATGCCTTTTAAGTTTAAGATTAATGCTTGCCCAATGCACGAACTGCAGCAAGACTTGACTTGACGCGGTGATGATGCAAGTTTGATTTCACAATTGTTGTACTTCGCTGCTCGTGCGTGGCGATGGTTTGGAAGTGCTTGGACGTGCTTGGAAGTGCTTATATACCAACATTAATAAATTCTTGGGTTGCATTTGTTTGATTCGACAGTGCTTGAAGATGCCAACTTCTAAATGTGAGGAACTATATAGACTACAATCTCGAGAAAATGCCTCGGCTCGAAACACTTTCCTTGACAAGGCAACATTGGCAAAAAATGGGACCGAAAACTACCAGGGTGCTCAACACTTTTTAACACTCACTAATCATATAACAAAAGTGTTGTAGCAACAGTTTTCCAACAAACGAGCCAACCACAAACATGCAATAAACACTGCTAAAATTTGAGCAGGACCCGAACCCCCAAGAGAATTATGTAGATCTGACACCAGACCTGGCAAAACCCAAGAACACAAAAACTGCCCTACTCAACGGGGCAGGTTGACGAAAAAAACGCTCCTAAGCAACGAAACTCCCGTGTGCTAGCAGATTGATTGGCTAATTGGTCGAGCGGTTTTGACAGGCCCAAAGTTTTTGACAAATTTTGGTTTGGGATTGAACCAAGCCGTGGGTCTTGTATGGAGGTCTATTGGGGTTGGAGCTGCATGAGAAACCCAGTCCATGGTCTGAGACCTGGTTGGACGCGCTTAGCGTGGGTCAAATCTCTTTTGGTGGAGCTGATGTGAAAGTGGCAAATGAAGTTGACGAAGGCCGGGAAATTGGACAGACCAAATGTGCACATGATGGCACATGGATGCCGAAATGTGCTGCACAGAGCATCAGCATGTATCACGAGATCTCTGCATTGGACCATTGTTTCTTCCTTCAAGGGCGTGGGAATGGATCTTCAACATGCGAAAGGTAGGATACGAGACGATACATACTGGCATCCTCATGCACACACACAAACAGAGGCACATACGCATGCACGTGCACTTTACCTAGCAGCCTGGCCTAGCACTTTTATGCACTTTTTGGATGGCATGTTTAATGCAATGATCCCCAGTCATGGATAAGATTTGCCGAACATATGTATGTATGCATAATGTATCTCTGTCTTTACGAAAATACAATATAAATATGTTATCTTACACACTTTCACACACACACATACATACATACATACATACATATATATATATACACATACATTACATAACATAACATAACATAACATCACACGACACGACACGACATGACATAACATAACATAACATACATACATACAGTAATTACATACATACATAAATACCATACATACCATAAATACCATACATACCATACATACCATACATACCATACATACCATACATTACATACATACCATACATTACATACATTACATACATTACATACATTACATACATTACAATACATTACATACATTACATACATTACATGCATACTGTGCATACTGTGCATACTGTGCATACTGTGCATACTGTGCATACTGTGCATACTGTGCATACTGTGCATACTGTGCATACTGTGCATACATACATACATACATACATACATACAATACAATACAATACAATACAATACAATACAATACAATACAATACAATACAATACAATACAATACATACATACATACGTACGTACGTACGTACGTACATACATACATACATACATACATAACATACTTACTTACATACATACATACATACATACATACATACACACATACATACATACATACATAGATACATAGATACATAGATACATAGATACATACATACATTAATTATTTAATTAATTATTTATTTAATTAATTAATTAATTGATCACACACAGTACATACATACCATACCATTACACTATGCTACAATACAATACAATACAATACAATACAATACATGCATACGTACATATCTTAATTACATACATACATACATGAATTACATACATACATGAATTACATACATACATGAATGACATACATACATTAATTACATACATACATTAATTACATACATACATTAAATACACACATACATTAATTACACACATACATTAATTACACACATACATTAATTACACACATACAAACATACATACGTACGTACGTATGTACATACATACCATACCATACCATACCATACCATACCATACCATACCATACCATACCATACATACATACCATACATGCCATACATACCATACATACCATACATTACATACATTACATACATACCCATACATTACATACATTACATACATTGCATACATTACATACATTACATACATTACATACATTACATGCATTACATACATTACATACATTACATACAGTACATACATTACATACATAACATAGATACATAGATACATAGATACATAGATACATAGATATATAGATACATACATACATAGATACACAGATACATAGATACATAGATACATACATACATAGATACATAGAGACATCGATAGACATCGATAGACATCGATAGACATAGATACATAGATACATAGATACATAGATACAAAGATACATAGATACATAGAGACATAGAGACATCGATAGACATAGATACATAGATACATAGATACATAGATACGTAGATACGTAGATACATAGATACATAGATACATAGATACATAGATACATAGATACATAGATACATAGATACATACATACATAGATAGATAGATAGATAGATAGATAGATAGATACATAGGTACATAGATACATAGATACATAGATACATAGATACATAGATACATAGATACATAGATACATAGATACATAGATAGATGGATAGATGGATAGATGAATAGATGGATAGATGGATAGATGGATAGATGGATAGATAGATAGATAGGTTGATAGATAGATAGATAGGTAGATAGATAGATAGATAGATAGGTTGATAGATAAATAGATAGATAGATAGATAGATTGATAGATAGATAGATAGATACATAGATACATTCATACATACATACATACACATACATACATACATACATACATACATACATACATACATACATACATACATACATACATACATACATACGTACACACACATACATACATACATACATACATACATACATACATACATACATACATACATACATACATACATACACACATACACACATACATACATACATACATACATACATACATACATACATACATACATACATACATACATACGCACACACACATACATACACATACATACATACATACATACATACATACATACGTACGTACATACATACATACATACATACATATGAATAAATACGTGCCGTGCGTCCTTGTAAGATTGAGAAGGGTTGGAGCAAGAAGAGATTGGACAAGCCTTGCCTCTCCAAGTACTCGTTTACCGAAGATCAGGATTTTGGTCAGACCGTCAGTTCAAGAAGGGCCAGACAGATTGGCAGCAGAAAGTCTTGGATCATTTGCGCCGGCTTTTTCACAAGGGCCGAAGCAGTTCGAAAGAGAAGCTTGGCAGCAAAATGTCCGGAGCACACCTCCACTTTGCCTCGAGTTCAGAACCTTGGGGAATGAGGCTTGGGTGCTCCAAGGAATGTTGGTCGTTCCAGTGGTCGCGTCCAAGAGCAACTTGAAATGGCGGATTTTGCGTTGCAGCGCATAACTCATGCGGTGACCTTGCCTGCAACCAGACATTTCTAAAGTCAAATTTTAGGCTCAGATGTTGTCAAAAGGCGAGGCCAATCGATTGAAAAGTTGTTAGCTTGGTGAAGTTCATGAGTTCGTGCAATTGTGGAATTGGGTTGGCCGTTTTCCTTGAGGTAAACATACTGCAGCGCCCTGAACGCCATGTGGATCCCTTGATGCTTGGGCTCGTGCTTTGAGTTCCCCCCTGACATCAGTCATTTCCTTTTTTAGGTGTGCAATTTGTTTTTGGCTGTGCGGTCGAGCGTCAAACTTTCACCACACTCTCAACATTAATATAAAGGTTTGAGTGTCAAGATGTGAGCCGCCAATTTCATAGGATTATGCATGAATACACTGATGGCATGGTCGAAGACGTCTGCGCGGACCTGAAGCAATGGTTAGAGCAACTTGCAAACGCGCTGTCACTCGGTGAATGGAAAAAGTCCTGTGACTGGCAGTGACTGGGTCTCTGTTTTGAATGTCGCAGCGAACCCCACTTTGCTACTTTGCTTTGTGATTTGTCTATCTTCAATCGTGGGGATCGTGGCAATATACTGCTATAATGAACTATAATGTGCTACATTCTGGTATATGGATTGCCTTGCCAGGCTTTGTCTTTGTGGGTTCCCAGGTCGATCTACCATGTGCATATTTTGGACCTGGAAGTTGGGCATCGAGATATGACTGGAAAGGTTGGCCTCTTGGAGACCAAGCTCCAGGACTGCGAGGCCAAGGGAACGTAACGTGACTCCACTCGGCCTTCGGCCAAGGCACACCTCGTTACAGGATGATGTTGCTATATATTGCTATCATTTGGCATCTAAATTGAAATGGTCATCCATGAGCCATCCATGAAGCTCCAGGATTGTGAAGCCGAGCGAGACGATGCGATGAGGCGATTCGACGACATGGAAGCCAGATGGAACGAGGAGAAGATGAGAAAACGGGCTGCTGCCCTCTTCGGCAGCTTGACTCAGCTTGACTCTTTGGCCATCCATCGACTAAGCGTTGTTCCCTTTCCTTGCCTCAAACCCAAAGAAGCGTCCATAGTGGAATATGTCAGAGTAAGAAGCATTAAGCAGCTGCTACCGCTACCCAAGCTGATCTCTTGAAGCCGGGTTGAGCTGAAGGTGTGAAATCCGCTGAAGAAGATCCAAAGATTTATAGCCAGGCCGAGGTAGATGTGATGCAGCTCGTCCAGGCTTCCTTTATTCTCTTCGGCTCTAGTGGCATATACCGTGTTTGCCTTGTGAGTTTTCAATGGGTTGCTTTGTGCAAATATGACACGGCTCCTCGTGTTCACTCAGTATTGCCCTTCCGAGGTATGATCAATGGAGAAAAGATGGGGTTGACCCACTCTTGGAAGAGATAAAGGAATTGAAAAAGGCGCAAAGAGACCCCCAGCTGAGCTTGAGTGAGTGCATTTCCTCACAAGGTCTAGCTCGAAGTAGGTCAGCCAGTCTCACTTATTCTCGAACGTCTCGAACGTTTCCAGTTTGGAAAAGTAAACAAACTGGACAATAACACACACCACTAAACAAAAGCCCTGAGATCAGTGAAAAGGACCACAAAGCAAACACTACCAGAGGCACAGATGACAGTTGCAAAAAAGAGACCCAATGGAGAAACTTTGATTATTTCTATCGTTCCTTGTTTTTTTGTTTCTCCAGTGTTTTGTTTTGTTTTGTTTTCTTTCTTCATCAATATCCTTCTCAATATTCTTATGTTGTTTAGTTCTTCCGTCCTTCTGAACTTACATATTATTTGATTCAAACCTTATTCTCTATTTCCTCTATTTCACCTGAATTTCGCCAGAATGTTTTTTTTGCAGAATCCATGCCGAAGCCTCCCGCCTTTCTTTTCCCTTTCTCCAACCTTTCGATTCGTCCCAAGGAGCTTTTGGCCAAGATGCAGTCCATGAAGCAAGATCGATCAGTGCCAATACAAGAAGAAACGAACCTCAAACGCATATCCAGGGAAGGGCCGGGAATGGAAGATGGGGATTTACACACATTTACACTCAATAGGTGGTCAAACGTTTGTTAATCTTGTACAACTACATATATGCATATGAAAAAAGCTAGATCGTATCGCATTGCATTTATATTCATATGCTTGGATACTTCTAGATGAATGTGTGGGAGAGGACAAGCTGTATGCAATTGAATCAAGTGTGTTGGGCAGCTATTTTGAGGCCATGTCGCTATGCCCCGCCTTTCAGGAGCCTTTTGGGACAGAGAGAAATCACAATGTTGCAAGCATCCTTGACGGCCTCGTCACAGCGCACCCATGGTGAACTGAAGCCGCTTCTCTTGCGGCTTGGGGAATCAATTGCAGCCTAGTTGCAGCCATCAGCTGACCATGAAGCAATCACAGTATGTCCTCACAATTCTGCACGTGTATCCTGCCAGGGGTTTGGCTCACGCTTATGAATTTGGAGCTTGCTTTTGAAACAGCTGGGTGAACGTAGAGTATGATTGCATCACCTTGAACATAGCTTCGGTCCTCGGTTGAACTCACGTTTGGGCAATTGGCTTCGTTCAGAGGTGTCAGACCAGATTTCATGCTGCATACTGCTTAGGCATCTGGCGGGCTTGAAATTCCAGAGATCCTCCGTGCAATCCAGGCTATACCAGTTCTGGAGATCCCTGAGTCTGTGGAGACTGGGTCCCAAGTGGATGAACCAACGCCAGTAGTGGAGCCTTGGCGAGAAGCGGGTAGAATTCACTCAAAATACTCAAACAGGTGAACGAGAATCCAATTAAACACCTGAGATATGTCTCCAATTGGATGGCTACCAAATTTTCCACCTCTATTTTGCCTGCCGAGTGTGAATCGGGTTCAGTTGCGATGGTGTTTTTTGGCTGGCAGATGTAACACCAGGCCACTTTCGACTAATGCGTTCCCATCATGTGTTTCTTGACATCTCTTCTGTTGCCACAGGTTAAAAAGGTGAAACAAATTGCAGGACCACTCCGCCGCACAAGGCTTCGGGATCGAAGGACGCTGAGCTATTCCAAACTGGGTTGAAGGCCGCTGGCGACTTGACTGCAGCCAACTTCTTCGTATTCGCCAAGTGCCCAAGTGAATTGATTTGCTTTGCTGAGGGCAATAAGAGCAGCTTCTATGACGCCGTTCGTTTACGGGAGGAAAAGGCAAACAAAACCGGTCCTCAATGTCCTCAACCATTTTTGGCATTTTGTTACAGTCCGTCCCCTTATGGCGTGAGTTGGCAAATTGCCATTCAGCATCGAATTGTTGAATTGCCTGAGGAAAGCATGTGTCACCGGATCTTGCAAGCCTTTTGGTCCAGCTTGGGCAAGCATTTACAGACGGAAGCGATCTAAAAAGGGCCCCTTGGGCCGAACCAGGGGATTAAAAGGCCCAATGTCTTCTGAGAGTTGGCAACCGCCCAGAATTCAGGAGTTTGAATGGGACAGGGAACTGTTGAATTGGATGAACAGTCTATTTTTCAAAGCATTTTTTGCTATGTGTAAAGGTCCCTCCATCGTCATTTGAGGTAGTACAGATGATCCAGAAGTTGCCTCTTCCAGTACCCATTGTCCTGCCTGAAAAGCCGGCAATGCGGTCGACTGGAGTCAATACATTGACACCCATTGCAAAGGACTGGCACCAGGAACAGTTTGTCAGCTCTTTTAATCATTGTTTCCAGTTCCGCTGTTTTGAATTTCCCAATTGATTTTTCTCTGTTTCACTTACGAAGATAGCACACGAAAATAAACGCCAAAATGACACGACGCAAAGATATGCACGTCGTGGCGAGGAGACTTCGGAAACAGTCCAGGTGGTAGAGCCCGGGAGCGAACGAGATTTCGAGGGCGAGCTCCGACGCCTCCGGGAGTCATTGGAGGCGCAGGTTCGGGCAGCCGAGGCTGAAGCCGAAAAGCAACGCAGGAGGGCCGAAGAGGCGCGAGCAGTGACGGCTTCAGATGAACATCTTTGGAACATTTGAACAGTTCTATTAAGTAGTTGTTAAGTTCTATTCGATCAATTCGATCTATTCAGCATTATTCAGCTTATTCCTTCATATTCCTATATATTCCTTGTATACAGGTGAAGGGCCTTAAAGGTTGAACTGCAAGATGCTGACGGTTTTGGACATCCTTTGTGCAAACCTTGGTGAGACATTACAGTCATATAGCGGCAAGCTCATTGTTGCGTTGTAGCCGCGAGGCGATGAAGAAACTCGAAGAAGAGACCCAGAATCTTGACTCAGCATGACTTAACTACATGCGCTATGGATATTTTCTTCGAACTTGGAAAGTGCTACACACATCCGTTTTTGAGAAGGTCGGTTGATGGTTCATTCTTTTGCAATTTTAAGTGCGAAGCAGACTGTCTTGAACCATGAAATAAGACGATTGGGATCTTGGTGGCCGAAGCCTGGTCTTACTGACCTTGGAGAAAACATTTCAGGCTGCCCTGCATATCCCATACAGTGAATCCATCCTATCAGCAGATCCTATCCTGAGGAGATTAGAGCAACTGATCGCAGAGCTGCGGCGAAAATTGAAAGAATTGCAAGCTCTCCTGGAAAAAGCAGGTCTCGGCAAACAGGTGGCGGAGCTCTTTCAACAAGCGGGCCTTGGTGTGCCTTTGCTTCAAAGTCTGAAAGCTTGCATAAGCTTTCTATATACTATATATGGTCATTTATCGGATTGTCGATTTGCTATGAAGTCAGGATGTTCACCGCATCGGCTCTCAGGACTTTCTGGAAGGTCGCGATGTCTTCGAGCGGCTGTACCGTGACGCCCTGCGGCGCATGCGCACTCAAGCTGAAGTCCAAGCGCGTCTGGCGGAGGAGCGTGTTTCATACTTTTAGGATCTTTGAGATTCTTTGAGGTATCCTGTAGCAACTTGAGCAGAAGTCGTAGTCGTAGTCATAGTCATAGTCGTCATTGTCATTTGTCATTTATCGTCGTCGTCGTCGCGGCCGCCGTCGCCGCCACCGCCACCGCCACTGCCAGCGTCGTCCTCGTCCTCGTCCTCGTCCTCGTCCTCGTCCTCCTCGTCGTCGTCGTCGTCCTTGTCGTCGTCGTCGTCGTCGTCGTCGCCGGCGTCGTCGTCGTCGTCGTCGTCACCAACATCCAAATCAACACCATGCGCTGGCATGCTCATTTCCCTTGGGATGAATTTGCAGCCGTTCACCTGAGCGGCCAAAGCAGGGAACAATTTGATACTCCACTGTCAGGAGTCATCTTTGCTATTCATGCGCACTTTACGGGATCTAGCAGCGCATCCTTTGGCTGCAGTGGATGCGCTGCTGACAGCAAACGAATATGCCAATGTCATTGCGCCTTTGCAGCTCTTCTGGATTAAAGAGCTGATTAAAGTCTGCTGACCTCTTCTGCGCCCATGGAATGCTTTTTCTCTTCAAGCAGCACCCCAAAGACCAGAATGGAAACTTTTGTGGTAGCCATTTTGGATGTGCCAGCTTGCAGCCTGCCCATGGAGTCAAAACACGTGTTTGGTTTGGTTGCTGACTTTTCCCTTGCACTTCACTACAGCTTGGTGTCTTGTGGCTATATTTTGTTGTATGACCATGTGGCTATGCAGGGGAACTTGCCCTCTTTTGATGAAGTTCGTTGGCGGGGATGGTGACGGGTTTTTACTCATAGCACACGTGGCACCTCTCTTCTGTTAGTTCTTGTTACCCAAGCTGACTCGTTGTGCAGGCAGGTGTTGCGCTTCGCAGCTCCAACGCAAACAGGAGACGCTACGAAGCTGATGCCAAGAGAACAAGAAATCAAGCGACCTATACGACCTATGCGCTTCAAAACGACCAGTCTATTGGCAGATCATGCGGATCGGCCTTTCTCTGCAGCACGAAAAGAGCAGGATATGAAATTGAAGCGTGCGGTTGCTAAGTGTGCACTACAGCTTGCATTACCGGTATGTTTGGACAAGCCGCTGATTTGGCTTGGGCAAGTTGTGAAAATCAAATAAGTTAAAGAGTACTTATTAGCACCTTCTGGAACAGAGTAACATATGCTGTTGTCCTTCTAGTGGCAGTGCAACTCTGAGAGCAACTCTGTTTTCTCGATTCCACATTCAATGCTTCAATGCTTCAATGCTTCAATGCTTCAATGCTTCGATGCTTCGATGCTTCGATGCTTCGATGCTTCGATGCCTCTATTTGTTTTTCAATGTTTTTCAGCTCACTGGGCCTTAGGCTACGATGGCTGCACCTTTGGTACCGCATGGTGTGATTTCCGGGCATCCCGGGCATCCGGGGCATCCTGGGCATCCTGCGCCCAGAGCTCGAGGCGAGTCACGAAGCCCAGGAAATTCAGGGAACTCATGGCGCCCGGGGCAGACACTTGTCTCCACAAAGGTTCTCAGAGAATATGGGTAAATATATCAAATAGATAAACAGATTCAATAGATGATATATATATATATATATCAAAAGATAGATAAAGAGAAAAACCTCTAGATTTCATACAGATGAATATAATGCTCAAGTGAACGAACATAGATATAGAAATGACAACGCCATACAGCACTGACTCATAGAACACCAATAAGAACAATTACAACAGCAATCTAACACTAATGAACATGGGCATGACAATAACAGCCACGGCAACACATCCACACACACATACACAAACTGTCACAAGCACATACAGAAACACATACACAAACATACACATATACATGCATGCATGCATACATACAAACATACTGCCATATAAGCGTACAAATGTGCAAACATACATATGTACATACATACGTACAGACGTACATATGTACATAGGTATGTGCACACGTACATACATACACACATAGACAGATGGATAGATACATAGATCCTTAGATACATACTTACACACAGACACACAGACACGCAGACACGCAGGCGAACATACATGCGTGAGTAATTTCATGTAAAATACAGAATTGTCAAGTGAGTCTCATGTCTTTGTATGGATTGATCATTGAATGCGTGTACACATGCACACACACAGATATATATATATATAAGTATATAGATTTATGTGCGTATATTTAAGGGCTGCCGCCCCTGCCGCCGACCCCGGAAGAATCGGCAAGGAAGCAAACTAAATTGGCATAAAAACTCTTCGGTGCTTCGCACCTTGAGGCTTTCGACCTTTTTCCTATGTATATTGTTGTGAAATATATTTGTGAATTTTCATTTGTAAATGGGTTTTTCATTTGGGTGCATGTTAATATTATGATCCTATGGTTTTATGGGTTCATGGATCTAAGTAACTGTATAATAGTTATATATATATATACGATAGTTTTGGCCCTATTATTATACAGCTAGTGTTGCGCCGCACAGGTGCATGGTTGCGCCGCACAGGTGCAATGTAATGCAATGTAATGCCATGCAATGCAATGTAATGCGATGCATCGCATTGCAATGAAAAGCAATGAAATGTAATGCAATGCAATGCAATGGCAGTGAAATGTAATGCAATGCAATGCATTGCAATGAAAAGCAATGAAATGTAATGCAATGCAATGCAATGAAATGTAATGCAATGCAATGTAATGCAATGTAATGCCATGCAATGCAATGTAATGCAATGCAATGCAATGCATTGCAATGTAACGCAATGAAATGTAATGCAATGCAATGTGGCAATGCAATGTTTTGCAATGCAATGCAATGTAATGCAATGCAATGAAATGCAATGCAATGTAATGCAATGCAATGCGATGCAATGTAAGGCAATGTAATGCAATGCAATGCAATGTAATGCCATGCAATGTACTGCAATGCAATGCAATGTAATGCAATGCAATGAAATGCAATGCCATGTAATGCAATGCAATGTAATACAATGCAATGCGATGCAATGTAATGCAATGCAATGAAATGCAATGCAACGTGCCAAAGACTAGAAACGACAACAAGTATCAATGCTGGTAGGTACACTTTTTGCCAAGGATAAGAAACGACAAGTATCAATGACGGTAAACATATTTTTTGCCAAACTTTTTGGCTAGGACAAGAAATGACAGGTATCAATGACGATAAATACGGTAGGTGCAGATTTTGCCAAAGACTAGTGGAAAATGTGTGTCTTAAGCGTGTACCCATGTTGCATGCCCAGAAAAAGTGCGCGATTCCACTTCTACATCTATTGGCAGACGTTGCAGCGTTTATTTCAAGTGTTATAATTCCTGAGAAACCAGCTCCAAACTGCAGCTCCCATGCCTTCAAAGCAGCTCCACAACGAAGTCCTAGCGGGCGGTTGCGAAACAGCAAAACCCCATGGCCCTGAAGGACGGAACGCGCCTGCGGGCATGAACCGACAAGAAACCAGCTCCGAAGTGCAGCTCCCATGCCCTCAAAACAGCTCCACAACGAAGTCCTAGCGGGCGGTTGCGAAACAGCAAAACACCATGGCACTGAAAGACGGAAGCGGCGCCCAGCAAGCAGGCTCCAATGCCTAACGTTGCCTTCTGAACCGACAAGAAACCAGCTCCAAAGTGCAGCTCACATGCCCTCAAAACAGCTCCGCAACGAAGTCCTAGCGGGCGGTTGCGAAACAGCAAAACACCATGGCCCTGAAGGACGGAACGACCTCCAAATCAATCGCAAGAACAAGTTCCCTGGAGGCCGGAACGTCTCTTCTGAAATCCTACTAGAAATCCTCTCTTATCCTGCTATCCTGCTATCGTGCTAGAATCCTCTCTTATCCTGCTATCCTACTAAGAAAGCAGCTCCAAAGTGCAGCTCCCATGCCCTCAAAGCAGTTCCACAACAAAGTCCTAGCGGGCGGTTGCGAAACAGCAAAACCTCATGGCCCTGAAAGACGGAACGCGCCTGCGGGCACCTAACGTTGCCTTCTGAACCGACAAGAAACCAGCTCCAAAGTGCAGCTCCCATGCTCTCAAAACAGCTCCGCAACGAAGTCCTAGCGGGCGGTTGCGAAACAGCAAAACACCATGGCCCTGAAGGACGGAACGACCTCCAAATCAATCGCAAGAACAAGTTCCCTGGAGGCCGGAACGTCCCTTCTGAAATCCTACTAGAAATCTTTTTTCGACAGCTTCTGTTGCCTGCGGCTGCTGCAGTAAAACAGCTTCGACAAAATCACCTGCCGGGGGGAAAGCACCGTGCCTCTGAAGGACGAGCGAGTTCCAAAACCACACCAAAAAACTGCCTAACGTGTCGTCTGAAATCCTAGAAAACTAGCTCGAAAGAAGCTCGAAAGAAGCTCAAGACTTACACCTTCCAGGCCGCGAAAACACTGGACCCGCCAGCCCCAAATACCATGGCAATGAAAAGATTCACAAATCCTAGTCACGAAAGGTAGCCCCAATCTTGAGTTTTACTTTACGAAGTAAAGGGGAGGGTGGGCAGCCCCGTTGCCTGATTACTCAGGAGGTGTTCATTTTAGGACCCTCCACCCCCCACGAACCCTAAAAGCAAACCTAGGTGTGTTTTTTGCATGGACAACTTACTTCTTGCAATGTGCTGAAAACTGCGTAATACCTGTGTTTTTGCTAGGTTCTGTCCAAAAACGCTGTAAATACCGTGATTTTTGCTCACAAGGTCAAAGAACCTCGTAAATGCCGTGTTTTTTGGCTTGCGAGGCACCAAAAACAGCGGTATTTACGGTGTTTTTTTGGTCCCGAAGGCTTTCAAACATTAGCGAAACACCGCAATGTGGCGGTTTTCGGGGCCCTGCGCGAAACGGCCCCGAAAAAGTGCCTAACGAGTCTTCTGAAATCCGAGAAAAACAACCTTTTTCGACAGCTTCTGTTGCCTGCGGCTGCTGCAGTAAAACAGCCTCGAAAAAATCACCTGCCGGGGGGAAAACACCGTGCCTCTGAAGGACGAGCGAGTTCCAAAACCACGCCAAAAAACTGCCTAACGCGTCGTCTGAAATCCTAGAAAAACAACATTTTTCGACAGCTTCTGTTGCCTGCGGCTGCTGCAGTAAAACAGCTTCGAAAAAATCACCTGCCGGGGGGAAAACACCGTGCCTCTGAAGGACGAGCTAGTTCCAAAACCACACCAAAAAACTGCCTAACGTGTCGTCTGAAATCCTCGAAAAACAACATTTGTCGACAGCTTCTGCTGCTGCTGCTGCTGCTGCTGCTGCTGCTCTTGCGCTGCTCCTGCTGTGCCATCAACCAGCTTCCAAGGCAACAAACCAACAGCCAGATATCTTTTTCGAAACCCACTCGAAACACCAAAACACCACCTAATGTCATGTCGAACATGACGCAAAATCGCAGCAAAAAATGCTTGCTGGCTGCCTGCTGCTGGCTTCGTGCCTCCTGACTGGCGGCTGCTGCCTACTGGCTGCTGCCTCCTGGCTGCCGACTAGTGGGCTATACTGGCTGCTGCTGCTTGGCTGCTGCTGCTTAGCTGCTGCCGCTTAGCTGCTGCCGCTGCTCTTACTGCTAGTGCTGGACTCGCTGCTGCCGCTGCTACATGCTGCTGCTGCCACTGCCGCTGCTCTTGCTGCTGGCGCGGCTAAACTTGCTTGTCTTATTCCCTGGCGCGCTCCCCCTTGCGTCTGCCGGGGTCGGCGGATATTCACCAAATCACACAAACACATAGATTCAGAATCATAGTTTGCATTTTTTCCCAGTCACACCGTCTTCAAAAAAAGTGATGCGGGAGAGGCAGAAGGCAGACATGCAGCCAGAAAAAGATTCATAAAATTCGATCCAAATGGACTTGCCTTTTGATTTTTTGCGCCGTCACTCAGGAACATGATTACCTCTAGGCCCTTGGCAAATGGAGCGAATTGGCCTGGTATCGCGGTTGAAGGCCGCACCTTCTCACGTGGCAGTGGGGAGGAGTGGCATGACACTTCTCCAGAGAGATCATCTCTAGCATCTCCAGCGTCCGTCTCACCCAGTGGAAAACATGGAAATTTGGCTATGGAAAAAATGGAAAAAATGGAAAAAATGGAAAACATGGAAAAAATGGAAGCGAAGACAGCGAAGATTGCCGGCTCTAAGAGCCTGGCTCAATCCGATCGCTCCGATCCACTGAATGTACCACTTCTTGTTAGTGCCATTGGCCCAAGGCCAAGTGGACCAAACCAAAGAAGTCAAAGTCAATTAGTCCCTCAAAGATCACAAGGATCACAAGGATCCCAGAGAGCCCACAGGGCACCTGTGCCATCTTCTCATGTGCTCAGGTCTGCAGGATCTCTGTGTGCAGATGCCGCCCGTTGATCAAGCAGCGAGGCGAAAAATATCAGGAAAGTCATGTCGCAGGGTTCCTTGCCTTTGCCTTTCATGATGTTCCGTGGCAGCACTGTGCCACATTTGGATGTGTACTATAATCAGTATCCATCCACACACACAGACATACATACATACATGCATACGTACGTACGTACGTACATACATACATACATGCATACATGCATACATGCATACATACATATATACATAACGTACGTACGTACGTACATGCATATACATATATATATATATATACATAATACACGTGATGCATCAAACACGAACACACACATGCATATGCTAACTCATGCACACACACACATGTATAAATATACACACTTATCGTTTTTGTTTAATAATGCACGTGCCCATGCAATGCACAAGGGTTTTCAATCCTTCTGCGTCTCCGAAGGACCAACGCGGATATACATGTTGTTTGCTACACGAAAGTCCTGGACCCTGTGGAAGTTTTCTTGTTGGCTATTCATTGCCCGATTCATTTGGAACTCACCTCTTGCCTAGTTCAGCCTGGCAGCTTTTATGCCTCCTTTCTCTTGGTGCCACATCACCGCCGGGCTCTCTCGAAGAGGTCAGGATTTCTGTTTCTGGCCCAGCAGCTACGTAGAGAAAAAGGCAAAGTGAAAGGGAAAGACTTCGCTTCGCAGCCAGCGCAATGGTGGTGGAACAGGTAGCAGTAGTTGTGTTGGGGGCTCGATCTGATTTGATCTCCAGGTTTAATGTCTAACCTGCAGATTTAACGATGACGATTACGTACCGTGCCACGGCTTGTCATGAGGTCATTTGTGTTGAGCTTGGTCGTGAATGGTTTGTCATCCACTGGCATTCTTGGAGGCGCGAGGGCGTACAGCATGGAGGATTGCTCGGTTGACCTCATGGTTTCAAGCACATTTGAAGGCAACCCATGCTTCCCCACCATGCCGATCCTACTCTCCGCCTGATGGTTGCTAGATCTGTCACCGTTGCCATGGCTATGCTTCCCATCAATCATCAGTGCTTTCCAAAGCTTTCCTTTCATCATTCATCATCAGTAAAGCCCCTCTACCTTGAATAAGTTAAGGCGATGCTGAATTGAAGTGACATGCGAGGTCAGTCGATTGGGGAAATTTCCGACGAGAATCCGACATATGTGTGGCCCTTGTCTAGTCCAAGGGTTCCGAGCCTACTGAAACCGTAATTATCCGTAATTACTCGTACCACCACACATTCTGAGTCCACTGACTCAAGGTTACGCCAGATGGTCTGACCTTCAGCGTTTGGGCTGTGATCTACACGCTTGAGCTGATCCTTGTGGTCAGCTGCTCAGAGGACAAGACTTGACTTGCAGATGTAGCAATCTATATAAAGGCACACAGTTGGGCGAACTAGTAATCTTGGCATTAGCACACTGGCCGGCTATTAGTGCCAAAGCCTTCCAATTTGTTGCTGGTGGCCCACCCTGTCCTCTGTTGACTCCTTGTTTGCTACCCGTTGGACTAGAGCTGTGTCAACTCTCTGACCTGCAGATTCGCCAAATTCAACCAGCCGACGACATGGAAGCATTGCTGCAGAGAAGCTGCCCTTTGACAGGCCCAGCATTTTCGACCTTGCTGCGATGTTACTGTTCCTTTGGTGGAACGTGTTTTAAACACCAGAACGCCAGCCTTGATTCGAAGGCTTGTCCGTTCGTTGGCGGTTGGTGCTTGCATTCCTAACCAATGCGTAGCATGCTTGCACTAGTACCCCTACGAACCTATATATTATATATATACTGGTCCCTGCTCAGGAAAACAGAAGCTCTTTGGGTAACACTGTCAAGGAAGTTGTTCAGTAGGTGATGCCAAGAGCGGCATGATCCAAGGTTGACGTGTATATATTTTTGGGTATGCTAATTTCAGCATCACAGCTTTCACATCTGCGTTGAATGCCAATCTCTAAGGATTTGGCTGCCGGTCTATGTGAACTTATACTTTGGAGTAGCTTTGTTGATCATTGTCACATACTTGGTGTTCCTGTTGTCTATCTTTGGTGACTTGAACACCATGACAGTGCCCTGACTGCAAGACAGACGCTTCAGCAACTCTAATCTCTAATCCTTGCTTTCTTCAGGATTTTCCAGCTTAAGCAATATGGTTAAAAAGACGACATTTATTTTCTCAAAGTCGGGTGTGGTCATTCTGCCCTGCTGAGGCACCAGGCTTTTGTGAATGGCTGACCTTTTGTGCGGGAATCGCATGCAATGCCAGTTGGGTGGTAGTGGCCACTTGTGCGAATGCCTTCACTGTTGCGGGGACTTTTGGGTGGAAGGACAATGCAAGACCCCACGGCATACATGCCGCCTCGGAAAGGATTGTGCGTACAGATTGCGTAGCATTTCAACATGATGATGTTGCACTGACGGTGACACATGTACATGCACACACACACACACACTTTAATCAGGCAGGCTTTCAGACCGTGCAGGAAATCTAAATACTCAGATGCAAACTTAGTCCTGCGGGGAGTTCTCACGAAACAAACTGGTTGCGGCAGGACGAATTTGGAGTCGCTGGCACTCCATTTGCTGCTTCTGTCGTGGCTGTGGTTGTGGCCGTCATTGGCATTTTCATGGGTGTTCTACGAAGTGATTTGGTGACGTGGCGTAAGATTCAAAGCCGGTATGATATTCTGCTGACAAATGCTATCTTGGGTTCGAGCCCAAAGGGAGCCGAGAAGCTGGCCAATTGGTTAGCTTCAGATTGCAGGGCTTCTGGACATAACATGGCGCGTTGTTTTTGGTGGGGGGGCTGGCGGATCCTGAAAATGAAGCAAGAACTGTCACGGGATCAAATGCGGTCATGTCAAGTAATTGCACTCCGCTGGCCCAGCAATTTTGCAGTGTGATTCTCAGGCATGGTCCTTGGTTGCTTGGCCGGAAGAATTTTGGAGAGGGTATGTATTCTCAAATCTCCTTTTTTGCAGGGGAGATTCGCCGAGAAGCTGTGTGTTGCATTTTGGATGTGTCTCTTTGCCTCAAGTGTCCTGAACATTGAGTACAAATTACTGCTTGAATGTAAGAGTAGTCGCATTGATTTTCCAGAAGCTGCCTTTCTCAATATGAAGTATCTTGTGTTGCAAATGGCTCAATGCACTGCTCCCTCTTTCATCGCTTTCATGCTGCTGAACTGCATGCGAGAACAGCAGCTTGCAAACTCAGCAGAACACCTTATTATGCTCCCCCAGGTAGTGTCCTGGGCGCTGGCCGGATTGTACAGGATGCACACCGTTGCGAATCCAGAGTCCTTTCCGGAAGAAGCAATGAGCCGTCATTTGGCTCTAGGCAGGGCAGCAGGTTGCAGAAAGGTGGCGACTGCCACGGATATTTGTCGACTGTTGTGAGGCTTAGCATTGGGGACTGTAGCCGTGAAGTGACACACTTTGACTTGAGAAATTCAAATGATGCGTCCTGCCAGTCGCAATTTGGTGTTCTGGCGTGGTGCTCTTGGCTTCGCTTTTCGGAACCTTCTTGGTCTCCAGCAACGGCGCCTTCTCCGGAAGTAAAGGCCTGGTAACCTGGTAGCTCAGGAATGGACATTGTGACATGAGGTTTGCAATACATCCGGGCACATCTTTGAATGCATATGCCCATTGGGTGCCATTGCCACTTCAATTCTGCATGAGCTCAATGATTTTTCAGGTTTGCCAGGTGCAGTGCCGCTGTCCTTGCCATTGGCGACGAACCCAAGGGTGGCTACTGTCGGATGATTTGAGGAAAATGAGTTGATCCAATTCAAGCTGGGTTTCTTTCAGCTTGGCTATTGTCTCCAACGAAGTTTGGTGCATGAGACCCGGATAGGGCGGTGTTTGATCCATCAGCCCCTTTTTGGGGGGTCAACCGCTGCACTTCTACGATCGTCTTGACGCAGCAAGCGCTGCACAACTTCCTGTGCCAGAAAGCGTTGCAGGAATCTTGCCACAACTGCAATATGCATACTTTGGTGGGTGAAAAGAGAATTACAAGAGGAGGGTTTGGGTATAACATTCCATCATGCCGGGACACATGCCGTAAATAGTGTAAAGATGAAGATGTCCAGCAAGCTTGAACACATGAGCTCCTGATCAAACATGGTGCAATGGCTCAAAGCTGTATACATAGACTTTGATTACGTGTTGAAAGAGAAGAAGTTGACGGCCTTGGCAGCTCATCCTTCATGCATGTTCATGCAGTTTTAATATTGCAGCAAGGCTTTGCCGACAGTGCATTGCCCAATGAAATGACTGAAATGCACAAATATATGAACGCAGGGTTCGTCACGATCGTTGAGGGGACATAGGGTGTGAGTTCAAGCTGCCTTCGTCCTTCCGCCAACGGAAGGGGTGCAGAGGAGAATGTTAGTTCTGCAGGAATGCCCGAAGCTCAGCCGGTTTTCTGGTCAAACGGCCCGACCACTTTGGCCTCAGGAGCTTGAGTTGAAATCTGTTGAAATAGTTGGCTGATTTGTCCTTTGATCATCAGGTCCGCTTTGGCTTCGGCCCTGGAGGTGGCCAGGCCAAAAGTGAGATGAGGAGCTGTCTTACCGATTGTGTTCAAAGTATTCTAAGGCAAGAGAGAGAGAGAGAGGTAGCAAGTGCCATGAAGTAAATGCAAGGTAAACACGTTTCCTGAAAACGAATGCATCTTCCCATGTCGTTTCAAGCATGGAGTCCGACCAAGTCCTAGCTCGAATTTGGCGACTGAGGCAGCGAGTGCTAAGAGGCATCGGGTGTGCATACTTGCAGCTTGACGCAGAGGGCCGCCCCGGTAAGTAAGATGATTCAGGGAGAGAGAGAGAGAGAACGACGTTTTGAATGTGAATGGCAGCATTTCTATTTCGTGCTGACTGCAATGTTAGTTGTGCTGGTCTTGTTTTTGTTTCTTCCATCCCTGCTGGCATGAGGTAAGGGGCTTTGAAGGAGGTGAAGAGAAGAGAAGGCTTGGGCTTTGAGCCAAAAAAGTGCCCACAATCACGACCCAAAAGAAACCTTTTCCGGCAAAAACAATGACAATCACATCGATGTCACTTCTGTTTCAAGGGCCCTGGCATCTGCAGTCGCTGCACTTTGTGCAGCGCAAAAGGTGCTTTTGTGCAGCTGGACCCTGAGATTGTTGAATCACAGGGATTGCTGGATTCTGCCTGGCTAGCAATCGGCTAGTTGCAAACGCAAACTCGGCTAGTTGTTTCCCAGAGCCCCCCTGAGGTCTTTCTAAATCTTCACTCGCTTCAATTATATAACTTAAATTGCTGAGGTAGACAGACCTTCACAGGCCACGAAGATGCCGAGTTTTGCCTGGCTCACCGAGAGCAAAGTGAATTTCAATCATGGCACATGCCCACGGGAGCGCACATAGGAGTCAGATGAGTCAGCAAACCCAGGATTCTTCGACAGCTTGCTGTGATCTGCCATGCTTCCAGTCCTTTTCCCTGTCAGGCAACTTTGATTTCGACGTTACCTGCTGGACTTTTGGGCAGGTACGATAGCTTCAAGGGCAAGAAGGTTCTTCAAACAGATCTTTTTCTGGATGTTTTTAATTATTGAGGGTAGAAGAGAAGTCACATAATCCGCTATAAAAATCAATTTGTCAATCAGTACCAGAAACATCGTATCAAGTTTGCAAGCTGCTGATGTGGGCCTTGGCTTCCGGTCTATTTTTGAGCTTTGCAACCAAATGCAAACAGGATCAGACAGGTCAGTGTCGCAGCTGCCACAATTTGGACCTGGTTTCACTCCAGCGTGAAAGAACTGATCATAGCTTTGTCATCATGTCATCTTTGTCCATGCCTCACGGGCCTCACGCTCCATTCCATCTCCTGTATTTGAGTTCTTTGGGCGACGCAGCAAAAATATAAAAACATCACAGCGCTGCATAGTTTGTCACAAGCTATTGAACGAATCAACTGCAACTGCTCAGTGCTGTGCCAGTTCAAGCTCTGCTTTGTCCTTTGACCCGACAATGTTTTATTTTTTAAATCTCTGTCTCCCACACCTTGCGTCGCACGTAAATTGTGTTCTTGAAAGGTACGGTACAATGTGGATCAATGTGGAATATGCTGTACCATGCTGTACCTTGCAGAGGTTTCTAAGATTTTTCTACGTCCTCGTCTTCCCGACTGGCCAGGTCCGAAAGGTGGCCTACCTAGGCTCCAGCTTCCACGCTGCAGTGATCTTTGATCCTGAGGTGCGGATAGCCGATGGGAAGCCGATGGGAAGCTGATGGGCAGCACTCACATCCCGATTCGTTCGTTGGGGTTGCAGGAGGGGTTTAGACTTGGGGAGACTCTCCGGTAGACTGGTGAATGTTCATTTTATTTCCAGCGGATACACTGTCAAGGAGATTATGCCTGAGACACTATGGGCCGCTGTTGAGACAGTGTCTGACACCAAGAAGCGAGTTAGTTACCATTGCTATGTGAAGATTGATGCTTATGAACCTTATTCACTGATATTTTGCAAGGCAGGGTGGTGGAGTTGTGTGTATTGTGCACAGCTCAGAAATGATTCCAGAAGTGTTTCAGGCGAGTCCCGAAGGGGGAAACTCCGCATGCAGACATAGGAATCTAAGTGCAGCTCCAAAAGGAAAAGGATCAGAAAGTGAGGGATTATGCTCGGTCCGTGTGCTCGCGTCTCTTTGTCTTTTCGCAATGAGGTGCCCGAACCAAGCGCTGGTGAGATGCCTGGGCCCGCTGGCCATGTGTTGCTGTCGGAGAATGATAAGAGTCGCAAGTTGTAACACATGTCTTGCTCTTATTTCTTCTTAGTTCGTCTCATTTCACTTATTTCCGTAGAGGGCCCTGGGAACACCCTGCAAAATAATGAACGACGCCAGGGGAAGGCACAACTTCTTTGGCAGGCTCATGAGGAACCTGGAGGAGGCGCTACGGAAGACGGCCGAAATTCTGTACCCCTGCAGCCCTTGCATCAATGTCACTCTTTCAGCAAGTCCCAGCAACCTTTTTGGGAATGCTTTGACCGGAAGATAGTTGATGTCTGGAGATGTTTGGCAACATTCTCCCTCAGTTTTCTGTCAATGGGTATTTTGTCCTCTACTGCCATTGGCAGACACTAGCAAAACGCAGAAGCGTTTCGAGGCTTTACTACGAAAAACATCGAAAAACATCTCTTTTAGCCCCTCCGACAGTGCAAACAAGACACATGAAAACTGTCAAGCAGTTGGTATGGACATGGCACGTGCGCACACACACACACACACACATACGCATGCACAAATATACGAGCATGATTGTAAGCGTTTATCTTGGTTCTTTTGACAACCAGCTTGGGGAAGCCGGAAGCTCTGATCAACTCTTCTACAAGCTGTGCGGAAAGACCAAATTGGGACAGCTTCACTTCCGATTGCTTCAACTTAACAAAAAGTAGTGCCTGGTAGAAATGGTTTCGGCCAAAGAAGGCGCACTACCGTACATCTCAGGAATGAATTCCTGCTCTAGAGAGCAAGAGCTCCACTCCACATGTCTTCACTGCTTTGAGGCGGTCTTCTGTATTCCTGTGAGCACTGCATTGGAGCCACTGGAGCCACTGAGGCTGCTTGTCTGAAACCGATGATTTTTGGGCAAACTATCTCCCGTGTGCTTGCTTGGGTTTGGAGTCAGACTTCGGGAGGACAAACTGTTATGTCACCAGAGCATCCCACACTATTTGTCGCAACACTGTGTGGGGGCTTGGTACAAGATGGTGTATAAGTAACGTATGCCCAGGAGCTGACATACCAGTCACGCATCTTGACAAACCAGGCCAATTGTCAGCCAGATCTCGGAACCACTGCAGCTTCCAGAGGAGGGGCAGATGGACTCTAAATTCAGTGGCAGCAACATTAGTCACTAGCAGTGGCCTCATGTCACCCAGCGTTGCTAAGTATTATGTTGCTGCCTGATTCAGGGAGAGCCGACTCTACCTTTGACAGAAACAGGTCTGGAGCCAAAGTCTGAATCACTTTTTAATTCGCACTATGAGCTCAAAGAATTTGCACCAGCCAAACTACTGTCAGAGATAGTTTCACTGGACCGGCTTTCCTTAGGCGGTGAATTGTCCTCAAGTTGCCCAGGGCATTCTAACCAAAAGTTTCAGGCGGACCATCTAGATTCTGAATGATGTTGGCTGGTCAGGGCATTCTCTGGAGGTGTTCCAAGGCCCTGCAAGGGTCTGATGATCCACTTGGCTTCATCCAACGCTGCTCAGAGGCCCTCCTTGCATTGACCTGCAACCGCGAGCAACGCCAAGTGCTTTTGACCGCCTTTGAGGCCGTTTGCTGCTGCGTTTCTCCCCTCTCAACACCGGTTCAGTTTTTGAAGTGTGGTTGTTCGTTGGGAGCTGTTGGGAGTTGTTGGGAGTTGTTCGGAGGTATTGCAGGATGAAGCTGGAATCAAGCCTCAAGTGGCCAGGGACCAAGCCGTGAAGAGACATATTTGCTTCAGGGTTGCTCTTATTGGAAATCGATAATTGGATTGCTTTGTGCATTGCACACCGTGAAATTGATGTAGCCATAATCTGCGGAGGTCATTACAGGACGGCGTGGTCGAGGCAAGCTCTGGGCTCAGACAAGTACAAGTTTGTCAGTTATAAATTTTTGTGTTCTATTTTTTGTGCGTGGCAACTATTTATGTGTCTCAGGATGTTTACAGATTGCCTCGCAGCGAAGGGCTTTGAGGGGCTAGTGTCACTATAGTGCCGCCATGGCAGTCTCCAAATATGATGAGAAGCCCGAAGCAGCGGAAGCATCCGAAACCCAGAACCCAGAGGTAGCTGATGAGCCCAAGAACGGTAAGAAAAGGGATACGGAGGAAATGCAGCACGAGAAAGGCGAAGACAGAGAGGATGCTCTGCAAGAACCTGGCAGCCTTGATGCAAAAACTTTGTCGCTGGCAGTTTGCGCAGTCTTGGAAGGCGGACATGCAGAGCATGTTTCAAGTTTACTCTTCCTGACATATACTAAAGCTTTTTAGGTGCCAGCAACCGAGATATCAAAGTTGCCAGTTCACCTGTTCTCTTGCACGTTTTATGTGATTTGTTGCATGTGAATTTGTTGCCGGTGTGGGGCAGCACCCCCAGGGAAGGACTTGGACACCGTCTCCTTGAAGGATTTCCGCCTTGCTCTGGAGCAACATCTCGACCTGAAGTCCGGGGCTTTGGAGTCTCGCAAAGAAGAGATCAATGAGTTGGTGAAAGCTGAGATTGGACGCCCAGAAGAGAAACCGAGGACATGCGTTTCTCCCATTGAGTTTGCCAAAGCATTTTGTGCACAAGTCTCCCATCGCAATCCCAGCGATCCCAGCAATCCCATTGTCACATTGCTCTGCTTTGTATTGCCCAAGTCCTGCTTGCCAGGAGGACCCAAGCAGCTGCGCGTACCAAGCGAAAGGCGGCTCAAGTAGATTGGCGCCGCTCCGTGCGCCGAGCAGAGAAGGCCCCAAAGGCATCAGAGGAAAAAGTGGAGGGAGAGAATCCGCTTGACCAAGAGGACCAGTAGTATGTTATTATATGAATAGTTTTCCATCCTGGTTTTGGAGAGGAAAGACCAACATGTTACTTTCATCAAGTTCCCCTGTTGCAATCGCGGCATACATCGAGACAGAAACAGTCCAACAGTGCGCCCTGCAAACGCTTGACTCAAGATTGAAGCCTCGCACTTTTCATGTTCGATTGTCAGTTCCCCGCATGTTTCCAGGAGAGAAAAGATCCCGCGTTGGACATGCCACCCTCCATGCCAGCACAAATTTCAGGGCAAGACTTGCAGCTGACCGGAAAGACCTTTGCCAGTGGGACCTTTGGATATCATGGATGTGCCGGGCTTGTGGTAGAGATCGGTGGCCAACGGCGGAGCATGATGTGCCAGATTAGCTGTGCTCTTCTGAACGAGTGATGGCCTGCCCTTGCCACGTAGGGGTGACAGATCGAAGCAGAAGTGTAAAGCACTTCAGCTTTTGATTGTCGTGTTGAGAGGGATGCAGCTCATTCTGCTGGGGTGCTATTGAGCAGGAGCAGGGTTGCACTTGAAAATAAGTCCATCTGCTTGCTCATTGGTGGCAGTTGAGACAGCAAAGAACTCCATGAGTGCAGGCTTGAACATGCTTGACTTTGCTGCCATTTGAGTGGAAGCATGTCCTTGCAGACTTCTGCCCACATTTTGGCAGACTCAGGTCGACGACAGTGGGAATCCTCATTGCTGGACTCGCGGCACTCAGCAGGTGAGGTGTATATTTTTTCGTGGGGAAGAGGCCAAAAGGAATGAAAGATGAGAGAAACATTCGATTGATCGCTGGTGTTGACTTGCAGAATTGTAGGCGCCTACGCGCTATTGTCATTGCAGCACCAGCTGTGGAGAATGTGTGGCCGCCCATGGGCTTCGGTGGTCCAGGGTGGTGCAATCGCAACTGTGACAAAGGCAAGAATCCAACAACTAGTTGCGTGTCACCATGTTTGTTGTGATTGTGCCACATACACATGGATGGATGGATGGGTGGATGGATGGATGGACGGACGGACGGATGGATCAATAGATAGACAGAGAGAGAGAGAGAGATAGAGAGATATAAAGAGATAGAGAGAGAGAGATAGAGAGAGATAGACAGATACAGTAGATCGATTAGACAGATAGATGGATGGACGGATGGACCGCCAGACAGAGAGATAGATACACATATCAAGAGACGGAACTTAGGCTTGGCAATTCAGCTTGAATCGTGCAAAAACAATGAAACATTCCATTCCCTCAACTCATCAGAGAAGCTGCTCCACCAAAGCAGCGAAAATGAATGAGTCTGACTTGTTTAGAAAGTTCTGGGTCCGACTTGCCATTCGTCATGAACGTTGTCCTCCTGCTACTCGTCATCCCTCCGGGCTATCCATGCTACATGTGGAAAGACGGTCCGCAACGTTGGTATGTCAAGTCATTTTTAGTTCAATTCTCTTGGTCACTCTGAGGTATCAGAGCTACTGGGCTGGGCGCGTGCGTTTCTAAGCAGTCGTGTGCACTCGTTGTGAGACCGGTGAGGATTTCTCACTGCTTCTCCGAGGTCGTGGACTGACTGCGCTGGGTCAAGGCTGGAACTCAGATGACGGATCAGTATAGGAGCATCCAGATTGATGAAGATTGACAAAATTTGACAAGACTTGAAGAATCTTGAAGACATAGCAAATGGATGCAAATGGATCAAATGTGATAATACGAAGGCAGTGTAGGTAGGCCTGGGCCATGCTCCATTTTGGACAGTGCAAGATTGCTTTTGCGACCCAGTATTTGCGAAGTTTTCCTCTGACCCCTAGTACGAGCCAGAGCTCGTTTGGGCCGGTAGAGGAGTTGCCAGGTTGCTTGAACTTGGACCCTCGAGGAAGCTTTTGTACTACCAGGAGCTCTGGTTTTATGTTTGGATGATCACCTTGATACCAATGGATTTACTCTTTGGATTTGGTTGCTATGTGCCGTGCAATGTTGATTACCCACCGGTGTCCTTGCTGGTTCCAAGTAGATAACTTGTTCTGCCAAAAGAAATGGAGGGGCAATGGTCCTTTGCAATCCATGTCATAGCAGTCCAGGGCTGCGTTGGTTTGAAAGACTCTTCGAGCTGCTGGGTAGATTCAGAGTCTTTGCCTCTCAGTGAGTCTAGCAGTCTAGCACCCAACGTGCAGGCCTGAAGACAACTCGGACACCTCCACTCTTGGCATTTGTACGCTTCTCAGACTTGCTTTGATGAACCAATCTGGTGTCAGGCCTTTAAAGCTTTCAATGTGGCGCCTCTGGAATCCATGTGTTGCGTCAATGCTTGGGCTAAGCCTTCCTTGTTCAACCGGAGCGTCAAGCAGGCGATGACAAGGCGGTGCAAGGCTGCCAGCAAGGATGTCAAGTCCTGGTCTCTGACCTGGCAACGGCTCCCCAGTTGCACGGGGCCCAGTGCACTGATGTGAACACGATTCCTCAGTATTCTGGTCAAAATGAATGGCACCCTGGTCACACCTCCTAGCTGTCCTAGCCACTCAAAGTCACGCCTTTGAAGGGAGTTTCACCTGTCCGTACTGGTGAGAACGCCACTTTGTCTCAGGCTGTTTGCGCTTGCTGGGATGGGTCACGAGGTGGTCGTAGTATGTGATGAGGCATGAAGCTGACCAAGCAATGGGCTTGATTTCTGAGGTCAAAGGGATCAAGCCCGTGTACACTGTATACTGTATGACTGTATACCGTATTCTGTATCCATCCGTATCCTATACCATCTTATACCATCCTACACTGCTTCAAAAGAACCTCGTGAAAGAAAACTGAGGAACGAAGTTTTGTGCATGACACAGTTTTTCTCAGGTGGAGGTTGGCTTGATGGGACCATTTTGGCTCAAGCCAACCCCACCTGGATCTGCCTTTTGTAAGGGGGGTTGTGCGCCGCAGCATGGGTCGCTATGTGGCCTCCAGCTGCGGTCTCGACGGTGGGCGACGTGCTGGCCTTCTATGCCTTGCCGTCGCATGTCTGGGAGGCCTTTTGTGGCCCCAGAGAATGCACGTAGAGCACATAGCTAGCAGCACTTGCAATGGGCATGCTGTGTGATGATGACCCGGTTCTTCACGTTGCCAAGAGAACGCTCGCAGTTTCTACATTGTTGTGGTACGGTCTGCCGCCAGCAAAGAGTTCCCGGCCATACTGGACCAGCTTGTGCACAATGTGCTCCAGCTCCCGATACGCATTTTCCAAAAGATTTTTCCGCGAAAACAGCGGCAGAAGACAGGGCCCGAGGGGAATACATGAGCAAGACCTTAGCAAAGGTGAGGCTCGAGATAGACCAGGGAGCCACACCACCCCTGGGGTGGAACGTCGACGAGCCCTGGGACGATATATCGGGAGTGGTGCTCCGCGACAAGGAGTACTGGTCAGAACAAGTCCATGTGCCAGGGCAAGCCATTGTCCCCTATCGAAGAGCTGGCAGACAGCTCCCTTCGAGGTGGCCGACAGGCACTTCAGCCAGAGATGGAAGAGCAGGAGGGCGACACAGGAGGCAGAAGAAAGAACAGGGTGCGCCAAGAGGCGAGGAAGAAGAAGCTCAAGGCAGATCGAGAGGAGCTGCAGAGCTTCAGAAAAGGCTCAAAAGGTGGAGGCGCCAAGGGTTCTGGCGAGGCGTGCTACGCCTGGAACAATGGGAATGGCTTATGCGGGGGGCTCCCACCTGGAGAACCCTGCAAAAGCAAAAGTAGCGCGCCTACATCAATGCACTCAATGTGGATCCCCAGAGCATCCTTCGAAGAGCTGCCCGGTGTCAAAGAAGACTTGAGCTGGCACCCACTGGCGGCCTGGCTGTTTGCGTACGGCGGCAGTGGGGGAAGCCAAAGCTCTGGCAAAAGGAAGGAAGACCACACGGAGGAGCAGGGGCGCAGCATCTCCGGCAGAAATCTGATGAAGGAGTTGCGGAGGACCACAAAACGGAGGAAGTTTACAGGAGATGACCCCCCTGGCGATGAGGAGCCTCCCAAAGACAAGATACACGTCAGGGGGCACTTCATGTCGTTTGAGGAGTACCTGAAGGTCCGCAAGTTCACCTTCTTTCATCACTACAGCGGCGAGGTGGACAATCTCAGCCGGGCAGTGGTGGATGAGTCCAACAAGTTGGGAATCAAGGTGGGTGCCACCTCGGTGGACTTGGCAGCGGGGAAAGACCTTCTGAGGGAGGAGCCTTACCGCAGCCACAAGCAAGCGGCAGAGCAAGGAGTGGTAGATGGGTACCACGCGGGGTTCCCCTGAGGTGGAGGAAGGCACCCAACATGCCTCCTCTACTCAGATCAAAGAAATACCCATATGGCCTCCCTGGGTTGAGCCACCACCACAAAGACGAATGCAACATTGGGACTATCTTGATGGCTAGGGCCATCGGCATGGTGGACGCAGTGCACAGGGCAGACCGGTGTGCGAAGGTACCCAGCTTTGCCACGCTGGAGAACCCACCGCCTTCAGACCATGAGGAGCACATCTCAGCCTGGCATATGCCGGAGATGGTCGAGCTGGTGGACAGGATAGATGACTGGAAGTGCGCACACTTCAATGCGTGTGCATACGGGTCTGACTTTCCCTTGGGTACCAAGCATTACAAGCCACAGATGGTGGGTGGCACGCTGCCAGGCATTTGCAGCCTGAACAGAGTGTGCACTTGCGGCAACAAGACGCACGAGCCCATTGTGGGGAAGGACAAGTCCAGCAAGTCGGCAGCCTACCCCTGGGAGTTTTGCCAAGCCTACGGGGAGCTGGCTGCAAGACACTTCATGAAACATGGCAAAGACGGAGTTCTTGGAAGGGAGATTGATACTTCTGGAGGACCGCATTACCTTCCTCAAGGAGAATGCGGCCGATGTCATGAACGAGGTCGAGAACCTGGAGGAGCTCACCAAGACCGTAGAGAGATCTTCAGCTCACAGAAGAGGGCTGGAGCACAAGAGGAAGAGGGCGGCAGAGCCCGGAGGAACGGAGGAGGAGAGCGACTCCGGCAGCTGGGACCCTTTGGAGGGCGTGGACTGGAGCAGAAGCAGCTCTGGAGAGGGAGCGTCGCAAAAGCGGAGCCAGCTTCAAGTGCAGCTCCCCCGAAGACAAAGGAGGAAAAGCCTAAGGTTGACTTAAAGCCCAAGGCTGAGAAAGACAAAGAGGAGGAAACCGAGCAGGAGGGCAAGAGTGCACTCAGCTGGCAAGGGGGCTTGGGCAAACACGGCACGCTGAAAGAGCCCAAGGCGAAAGATGAGATTCCCAAGGCATTGACTTACTTGGGTGGCATGCGAGATCCTCACAAAGCAGTTGTGAAGCTCCCTACACTCCAGTCCCAAAATGTGAACCTTTGGGAACGTTGGAGGAAGTTTGCCGTGCAGAACCCCGACATTTTGGAGGTGGCGGAGACCTACGGCACGGAAGCTTGCCAATTCAATGAGGAGCTCTTGTGCAAGTGGCGAGCGGAACTGTGCGAGCTCTGGGGTGTGGACCTCCAGGGTGATCGCCGAGAGCATGCAGAGGAGTACCAGACCCCGGTGTTCCACGAGCTGCTAAGGGGCTGGAGACCCAGACGATGTGGTAGCCAACTGGCTCAGAGACGGCACACCGCTGGGGGATAGAGTGCCCCATTGAGACTCGGGGCATTTTCCCGCCGTCGCACGAAGACGAGGCTGAAGAGGGCGACGACGTGCGGACGCAGGTAATTGCCGATGCAGTCCTGTGTCGACCCGACACCTTGAGGAATTACAAGAGTGTTGAAGAGGACCTGGAAGAAGCCAACATTGAGCTGGACAGGTATGCCACCTTGGGCTACATGAAACGCATCCCGCTGAAGGAGGCAGAAAGGGAGTTCAGCGGCGGCACTGTCAGCCGTCTGGGCCTGGTGCTCAAGATCAAAGACGACAGGCAGAGGAAGAGGAGGATCGTGATAGACCTCCGCCGATCAGGCGGGAACGCCAAGAGTGTCCTGCCCGAGAAGCTGGTCTTGCCCCGTTTGACGGACGGGGTGAAACTCATCAAGGAAATCAGGAAAAGGAGCACTCAGGCGTCAGATCCAGCAGGAGAACACGAGATGGAACTGGCGTTGGTGGACGTGTCGGACGCGTTCACGGTGTTGCCAGTGGCGAAGGCCGAGCTGAAACACACCATGGCACCATCGACCAAGGAAGGGGAGATGTTGGTTTTCCAAGCCTTGCTGTTCGGCTACAAAGTGGCCCCTTTGCTGTACAGCTTCTGCGTGGTGATCATCACCGTCGCCCCTTTCACTTTTTCTGCCCAGCGGCGAAGTGCCACCAAAATAGCCAGGGCCTCTAATGCTGGCGGCCAAAAGCTCCAGCGCCGGGCTCAATTTCCTGGGTGCAGAATTGGCCATCTGCCTGGAAGAGCTGGGGGTGGAGGAAATCAGGGCAATCCACGTTCCAGGCAAAGCCAATGTGGAAGCAGACTTCCTGTCGCGGCCCAGCACCTGGAAGACTACGACAATGCCCAAGGCGTTGGAAGGAGTGGACATCGGGTCTGAGTTAAGGCCAGGCAGCTGCTTTTACCGGCTGCCTACCCCAAGAGAAGCTCCGAGCCTCTGGGGCACGAAAGGCGAGGCGGCTGGTACTACGGCAGTCTGGGATGCAGTCTGCTGACAAGCAGCGGTGGGTGAGAAAAAGGGGGCGAATAGGGCAGGGCAGCTCGGGTTCGCTTTCTCTTTCCCCCCCGTTTTGTTTGTGTGTTGAATAGGTTTTCCATATATGACTTGATGTCGTTTTTGGTGTTTGTCTTGTATTGTAGGGGTTTTCTGAACGGGCTGAAGCGTATGTTCATAGCAGCCAGGAGGCTCAAGATGGCTGCAGGAGACTCAGAAGAAGCCCTGAATTGGGACGTCTTTTTGTGGCTGGTAGCCGTGGGCTTCGCGGTCCACCTCGCGGGGCTGCTATGGCTTTGTCGAGCTTGTTGGATCTCATCGTGTGGCCGCAGGCAACGTCGACGGAGCCACGCATAGAGGCGGGAAGACAATGGGTGAAGGGGCACTACGGCATCTCCCTTCACTCTCCAGCCTCCTGCTCGCGGAAAACCCAGATGGAGAGAAACCTAGCGAGCCTGATCAGAAGGGAAAGGAGGGGCTGATCGACTTCCCTTTGGTGCCACCTTTTCCCCCTTTACCTCCGGGGGCTACTCCTTTCCCAAGCATAGGAGGACAGGACTTCGGTGAGCATGAGAACGGCGAGGAAGAGAAAGTGCAACAACAAGTTTGGGGAGCCGCAGGTGAAATGCATCTCGAAGGTCCCACCTCGTGGAGGGGCCAGGTGTGCAAAACCTCATCCTCTGTCAAAGGGTGGATGAGTCCGACGAAATCCAAACCACTCAGCCCACAGATGGCGAACAAGGGCATGACTCCACGGAAGGAGTTGCCACAGATGGCAAAGAAGGCAGTGATCAACAAGGACAAGCTGCTTCTTGCCCTGGGAGCTGCCACGGCCCTGAAGAGGAGGGGGCTAAAGAACCCTTCTATCGAGAAGTCCTTCGCAGCGGCCTCATGAGTGGACTCCAAGAATGGCAAGAAGCGCACAATGGCCAAAATCCTGGAGGCGCTCAGGGGCAACGATTCACCACTGCCTTTGACCCAGGAGGTCTTGAAGGGCCTGGCCTCCGCGTTGCAAGAGGGCGGCTACAAAGCGGGCGAAGGGTACATCATCGAGGCAAAGTTGTGGCAAATAGAAGAGGCTCAGGGAAATAGGGCTGGGGAACCTGACATCCAGCGACTTGATGATGGATCACACCAACAAGAAAGTCACTCTATACTTCCGCATCAGCAAGATGGACCAGGAGGGTCACGGTGTGAGGCGCACCTTGCAGTGCCTGTGCCTCAACAACTTGTGCGAGCGGGAATGCCCGTACAAAGTCACCTACGACCTGGTGGACAAGGTGGAGAAGTTCAACGGGTCGAACACACCAGTGGCAATGATGAAAGACAAGAAACCAGCCACGAAAGCGCAGATAGTGAAAACCTGGAGGTGGCTATACGGCCAAGGGGTCTCAGGACACTCGGGCCGCAGGTCCGGTGCTTTATCAATCTTTATCATATATCAGAGCCGGGTGGTCCATCACACAGGTGGCGCATCTGGGCAGATGGAAATCCAATGCGATACTGGCCTATGCGGAGGAAGCGCTGGAACAGATGCCAGCAAATCTGCAGATCCCCTGTCCAACGTTGGACAACAAAGGAAACCAAACAGTGGAGAATAAGCTGCTGTCCGAGGAGGAGATCAGCAGCTGGAAGTCTCAGTTGAGAAAGGAGATGGACGAGCGCAAGGGCACCTTGGACAAGAAAGGGAAAGAAAACGAAGAACAAATAGACGCCTGGGCAAAGTTTTACAAGGAAAACCCAGGCACACTGCCCAGGAAGCTACAAAGCATCACGGGAAAAGTCACCCACTGGAATCTGGCCAGGTCAACTTCATCACCGCCGGTCACCTGGCAAACGGCCTGCGGGTGGGCCTACTACGGAAGCCAATTCAGCTTTGTGGAGCCCGAGGTGGAGGTCACTTGTCAGAAATGCCTCCTGCTTTGCGCGAAAACGCAGTGAGGTTGGATAGGGGCAAAGCAGGTTTGAAAACCAAGGTAGCCTGCAAAACCCATCCACAAGCTTTGACCAAACCAGGCCACAGTCCTTGTGGCAACTCAGCAGCGCTCTTTGTAAAAAGAGCCTCTGTCCTTGCAGTGTCTCCAAAAACAGTGTGGCATGTCAAGGACATGACTTGCTTTCAGGGCATGTCTCTCTTGCAGTTTACTTCAAGCTCTTGCTTAGCTAGAACATGCTAGAACACTCCTTTGCCACCGAAACGGGATTGAGACTTTGCTTTCAAACTTCTTTGACCCACGCTTCACAAACTTGAATTCTTGGAGGCGGCATCGGTTGAAATCCCTGTCATCAAGTCAATCCTTGCAGCCCCTTCCAGAGCTGTGATTATGGCCCCAGGCTAAGAAGTTGCCATATGCTCTTGCAGCATATGTGTTAAGTGTATTTGTTTTGTATCCATATATATATATATACATATGTGCGTGTATAATTGTGTATACACTGGTAGGACAAAAGTTGCACTTGTCGAGCTTCCGACAGTGAACATGTTTGTTTTCTTCTTCTGCACGCCCTTTCCCCTAAGAATCCTAACATGGAGCTTTGTCGTACCCCGGTCGCATTTCCACCCTCCAAAAGCTTTATATATAAAATCTTGTAGATTTAAAAGAGGGTGATAATTGACCGCCCCACACCTGCCACACAAAATGGACTTCGAAATGTGATCCGCGATTGACCGAGATGAATGTTTTGTAAAGTTTTCAAGAAACATAAACTCTGTTCCTCCTGAAGTATATATATATATATGTATATGTGATTATATACATATATATATATATATTGTATATGCGCGGGATTTCAGGCTGGGACCACCTCAAGCTGTGAAGGCACAGGTTCTGCACTTGAATGGCCGGGGCCTGTGAAAACTGCTCGCTCTACGGCCAAACTTGGATGCAAGGAGGGCAACAAGGCAACAAAAATAACAACCGTTTTTGTTCCGTTTAAAAAATCTTAGAAGGACATGCAGTGCCAGGCTGCCATGTCTTTGACATTCTTCAGCTTTCGATCATCGCTGTTGAGCCAGTGCCGCTGAGGAAGTTGCTCTTGGACACTGCAGGTGCCACAGGCATGGTGCGTACATTTAACATACGTGTGATGCCACACATAGGTTCTCAATGATTCTTAATGGTCCTTATTATTTCTCATCCAGTTTCTTCCTGTGGGATCTGAAACATGCAGGCTTCAAGCAGACTCGCCTCTTTTTGAAGGCAAAGACGGATTGCAGTGAGTCTGGATCCCTTGACGGTCACACTAGATGATTCAGATCTTGATTCTGACACTATGGCTGGTTCTGGGGACGCAAGTCTGGTTTATGCAGAGCTATTATCTACGCTGTATGGGAAGTTTTGCATGAAAACGCTGGTAGCACGCTGCTAGTGAAAATGATCTTTCCGTCTAGATTTTTCTAGGGTTGAGTGAGGCAAGATGAATTCATCTGTTCGGAGCCAGTTAGGAGATGTAAGTCGATGGGGGTTGTGGGAGAAGTTATTTGGTCAGGAGCCTATACGATACGGGTCTGGGTGCCCCTTGGAAGAGCTGCTGGCCAGGGCCCGAGCTTGGCAGCTTGACCGTGGGTGAAACAAAGGATTGTATTGGCTTTGAGACCAGCCCAGGGTGATCCAGGATGCTGGGGGTGGTGAGACATATGGTGGGTGGAAGACGATGGAAGTACACATCTGGGCGGGAGTGCCTGAGAGTGCTGAGAGTGCTGAGAGTGCTGAGAGTGCTGAGAGTGCTGAGAGTGCTGAGAGTGCTGAGTCTTTGGACTCTGAAGGATGCTTTGTTGGCTGCGGCATGCCCAGGGTGGTGCCATTGCTTGTGAGGCTTGGGTTGCCGTAGAGTCGTAGAGATTTCGCGCGTCTAATTCGGGCCAGGACTCAATGCTGTTCCTCGGTGCGACTGGTGTCAGTGACCCAGCTGCTTCACCGGTACAATCGAGACTGATACGTTGATTGCACCATATTGGCACACTTGTTTCCTCATGATCAAATCTGCCATTCTCAATACCTTTGCGGCAACTTCATGATCAAAGCTGAGGAGCATCCTCTCCACGAGCTCGGGAATCTTGCAGAGTTGGGCTTGAGACTTGGAACAAGAAATGCATGTAAGATTATGTAAGCCAATGTAGGATACCAAGTCTTCAGCCATTAGCTGCTGCAAATGCTGCAATTGCTGAACACTTTCCAACACAACAGTCACAGGTCACTTGTCACTGTCATAAGCAAGGAGGAATGATGTTCGACCATTCCAACTTGTGTTGTGTTGTCTAATCATTTAGAAACGCGTTTTAATATTTTTTTCGTCAACGTTAATCCTAGAGCACGTGGCATTGTGGGCCAAGGCCCCGAGGCTACAAAACTTCTACAACTGGATCCGGTTGGGCACCCAACTGCATATTTTTTTTTCGCATGGCCTTGGGAGATGAAGGTCACATAGGTCACTGGCAGATGGGGTTCCATGGTCGCATTCAGTATGTGTTCTTCGGTATTCTTTCTTCATCATCATCATCATCATTATTATTATTATTATTCCGTCATATTCTGTCCATCGCAACAACGCGAAGTGGGCGGGAGGGTAGTGGGTTCCGCAGCGGGAATTGGTTCAGCAGTGGTACTTGGCTGTTGTTGCAGGCATCAGGGAGTGCTTTTACTGTCTTTGTTGTGGGTTCCCTCAGTGACCTTGGTTTAGCCTCACTTTCCAGTGCCATTTGCATCCTTCTAAACAGGCCTCTTTTACAGCTTCCACCGCTGGGGGCTCAGCTCACTGACCCTTTTGGGTCTGTTTGGTCGATGAATACACAGTTCAGTCATGTTTGATTGGAGTCTACTGACTACTGGGTGCAGCAGATCGTTTGCTTGCAATAGACTCCACAAACTAGGACCACTGTTCACATTCCGCGGTGTAGGATTCTGACTACTGTCAAGGTTGACGATTTTCATTGTCGTGTCAATTGCAGGGGGATGTAACATTTTCTTGGAATATGTATTGTTTCAAACCTTTTCGGCTCACTGGATGCTGCGGGGGAAACTACTTTGTCCTTCACCAAATCGCCGTCAGATCGTCGAGAAACTGTGGAGCACTGAAAGATCTTACGACGTAGCATCCAGAAATGTGCGTGCACGTGCAAGAGAATATCTTACAACGTAACATCAAATGTATGCAAGTGAATGTTATTGCCCCACCCCACCCCACCTCATTTTTGTGGGCCGGTAAAAGATTTGTAAGGTACGCTGTCGATCCAGGACGTTATTGCGCCCCCAACCCCCCAACCCCACAGTCAAAAGATAAGAAGGATTCTTGGACAAAAATGCACAATTCACGTGGCGGAAGGCACACTGTAGGCCAACTACTGAAATGCCAGCAAGATGATGCAGTTTCCTTGCGTGCTTTTGACATCCGAGGAATTCTCCAAAGCGTTGGTCGCAGTGCTACAAACGTCTTTAACCTGGTGGATATTTGCAAAGAAAAACTTTGGACCCGCGGTGGTCACCAGCGAGGCATTATCGCACTTCCGCCAGCGACATCAGCATGATTACGCAGAAGTGCCCCCCTAAAAAATGTAAAAAAAGTTGATTCAGTGAAGTTTTCTAAACTTATATCATAGCAGTATAACAAATCAAAAAAAAAACATAACAGTCCAAAAAGTCAGTTTATATATTGTTAATTGCTTCATTTTTCTCAACAATATCAAAACGTAATTGCCTCATTCAATTTTTCAAAATCATAGCAGTCAAAGCATACTTACCTCATTCAATTTTTCAAAATCATAGCAGTCAAAGCATACTTACCTCATTCAATTTTTCAAAATCATAGCAGTCAAAGCATACTTACCTCAGTCAATTTTTCAAAATCATAGCAGTCAAAGCATACTTACCTCATTCATTTTTTCAAATTCATAGCAGTCAAAAGCATTATTACCTTATTCATTTTACAAAATCCTATCCATCAACCGTTCCTAAATTCCTTTTATGCTTCTCTGTTTTTAAATGTCTTGAATAACATTGTGCCTTCATTGATGAATTACATACATTATTTGTATTTGTTCCTGTTTCTTTTTTCTGTATTCTTCATCTTCTTTATATTTAGTTCTTCGTGTTTCATTTCTTACAAGCATTTCTTACAAGTCTTCAATCCGTCTTCAAAATTATCAATTGGTAAATCTTTAAACACAGTATCTACAAAAATTATCCATTACATATAAATATGATTATCTTCTTAAATGTCTTTTCCAAGAATTCCTATAACCCTTTCTCTACTTACAACATCCATTGCCTTTTTCATAGCATAACTTCTGTATTCATTAGTTTTCTTTACTGATACTAATTTCTTTGTTAAAACATTCGATATGGGTTTGTCTTTGTTGTATCTAAATTTCTTGTTGTCTATGATTATTGACTTCAATTCTTTTCTTCCTCTTTTTGGTATTTCCGCTAAATCATTACTCAATAGATAGTCTATAACTTCTTTCATCATATAATAGTATATATTTTATTTAGTTAATTTATCTTTAAGTAGTTTTTCAAAGAATTCTATATTTTAATCTTCGAATATGTCCTGAAAGACTAGTTATTTCCATATTTTTTTAAGGACGGATTGTATGAAGGATTTGCCTGTTGATGCGTTGCGTAAAATCGTTTCTTATAAAATTGGAGACCCTAAATATTTGAAAATAAAGCATAGTGAAGCATTGAAGAGAATACAGAACAAATACAAAATTTCAAGACTTGGTCCTAAAATAACAAGACATTTGAAACCAAGAAAAAAATATAATTGAATACTGTATTGTGAGAGAGGAAGTGCCATTTAGCTTAAAAAGTATAGGAAACATAATAACAGAAGAAAAAGAAGAATTACTGTCCTTACTTTATGAAGAAGTAGAAGATGATTTAAATTATAGAGTTAAACTTGATATTGAAGTCCAATTAGTGGCAAAACTCCGAGAAAAGGAATATGGAGAAAATCAATTTATTTATAGAGAGATTGATTTTATGAATGACTTTGATGAATATGTAGATGAGGATGATATAGACGGTGACGATGTATTGAATAAAGCAGATGAAGAAATAAATACCGACATAGAAGAAGACCAAGATAAAGATAGTACAATAGGAATACACACATTTCATTTTGAATTAATAATTATTGAAGATATTTACTACTAACATATTTCTAATAATAGTATTATTAGACTTATGGAATATTAAGATAGGAGTATTAAAGGGTTGGGTTTATATCTATTATTATCTTTTGTATAGTTTGTTGTGGGGTGGTTTTTGTTTTTTTTGTTGTTATAGGAATTCTTGGAAAAGACATTTAAGAAGATAATCATATTTATATGTAATGGATAATTTTTGTAGATACTGCGTTTAAAGATTTACCAATTGATAATTTTGAAGATGGATTGAAGACTTGTAAGAAATGCTTGTAAGAAATGAAACACGAAGAACTAAATATAAAAGATGAAGAATACAGAAAAAAGAAACAGGAACAAATACAAATAATGTATGTAATTCATCAATGAAGGCACAATGTTATTCAAGACATTTAAAAACAGAGAAGCATAAAAGGAATTTAGGAACGGTTGATGGATAGGATTTTGTAAAATGAATAAGGTAATAATGCTTTTGACTGCTATGATTTTGAAAAAATGAATGAGGTAAGTATGCTTTGACAGCTATGATTTTGAAAAATTGAATGAGGTAAGTATGCTTTGACTGCTATGATTTTGAAAAATTGAATGAGGTAAGTATGCTTTGACTGCTGTGATTTTGAAAAATTGAATGAGGCAATTACGTTTTGATATTGTTGAGAAAAATGAAGCAATTAACAATATATAAACTGACTTTTTGGACTGTTATGTTTTTTTTTTGATTTGTTATACTGCTATGATATAAGTTTAGAAAACTTCACTGAATCAACTTTTTTTACATTTTTTCCCCTTACCTGACTCACTGTGGCGTTTTCTTGAACATCATTGAGAGGTATACTCGAACAATGGTGCTGGTTCCGGACGGAAGCATTGAAGGACTGCGCTAGCCTGGAACAATCAAGCCGCGCAGATTCGTATAGAACTCCTCGCGTTGCAAATTGCAAAGTCCCGAGTGATGTTAAATAATGTCATTGAGCTTCAATCATGTCATTGAGCTTCACTCACGGCTTCAGGTAATTGAATGGCTCACTTCATGTGATAACAGAACTGTTCTGTGGCAAGGATTGCGTTGTCCATTGCCGCTGGTAGTCACCAACCAAGTTCGTTTGGCATGAGAGCCATGATTAGGAGAGCGACTGACTGGAATACCCTGAAAAATGGTGCATGGCATAGATGGATAGGAGGAGAATCGCACTTGAAGATTCAAAGAAGCACTGTTTGCATCAGTCTATTGTGAAGTGAGATGGTTCCAATTCTTCGGCTTGATGCTCAGGTCCTGCTGTGTATCCTTGAAGCCCCAGAGTGGGAGACTGAGGCAACACAGTAATGATTCGTAGCAACTAGGATAGCCACGCAGCGCAGCATTTTTGGAGCTTATTCATCTTGTTGGGTCCTGCCACTGCAGCGTGATGCCATCCTGCTGTCCTCGCTTCTCCTGGTGGCTTCTTCTGCAAAGGCTCTCACAATTGGAGGAAAATCGAGGGTCTGGAGCCGAAAGTGTGACTCCGAAATTCTAGCAGTAGCTCAGTGCAACACTATCAGCTGAGGTCCAGTCGGCTTTCAAGGTCCCATCTCATGACCTTTTGTATCGAACAGGTGCAAGTCACACAACCTTCACAAGTTTCAAACGTTTCAAACAAGTTTCATGCGAGCTTCTTGAGTAAATCTCTTTCTTGCCGAGGACTTCCCGGAAATGCAGCTTTCTGGCTTGCGAGGTCGCACTATGAAGACACAAGTGACTGGGAAGCTGTTATTGCAACAGTGCAAAGTTTATTCAGCTGATTATTCTGTATATATAAATACGTTTGCAACATTTTGCAACATGTACTTATCATACAGATGCGCGCGACACACGCACACACACACACACAGAACGTCTTATCTATATATATATCTATCTATATATATACCTACATAAATATGTGTGTGTACATATATAATATAAATATATGCATATATATATGTATATCTATATATGCTGTATACGTTATATAGCATACTTTACCATTGAATGACCATCCGCAACTACCACAACCAAGCTCCTCTCTGGAGTTGATATTGGCCGAGTGCCCAATCATTGCACGCACGAAATGTCAGAGGCCTGCGGGTGGCGCGCGTTGTTTGCGATCCCCGTTTACGAGGTTGTGGCTTTGGGAGTGCCTTACTTATGAGATCCTATGAGTGAGTCTGCTTGAGATAATGTGCTGAGTGTCACTGACACGTTGTCCGTGGCAAGCTCGCAGATCCGAGGTGAGGCCATTCGGCAGTTGGTGGCGCACTTGACGGAGGCCAATTTCTGATGCTCCACTATGCGCACTGCTCCATTGCTATCTTCGATTCATGGGATGTTCATTGCAAGGCAAACCTTCACATGCTTGAGCCTGGCGATTCCGATAAGATAAGTGTTGCCCCAAGAGACTTATGCAGACAGGCAGCAGATGGCAGCAGATGGCAGCAGATGGCAGCAGAGCTTGTTCTTTATTTGTTTACTGAATTCAACCTCTTCCGTTGTGTTTCTTCTCACACAGCGCTCAGGTGGGTTGGGCCCACTTCAACTTGAGCCATGTGCATGGCTGGGTGCATCTTTCGGTACGCTCGTCAGCTTTGGGTGATCTGGTCTATGGACATGAGTACCACTCCATCCGCTATGCCTTGTTTGGTTACCGAGTGGGACAAAGCAAAACATCGCAATGTGAGGCCTTACAGCACCGTTGCTGCGGTTTTGGTCTCGCTTTGGACTCAACATAATGTGCGATGGATTTTGGAACTTGTGCAGGATTGCACTTCAAATGAGGCAAAACATCATTTTAAGAAGTTGTGAATTGTGAATCATGTGCATTCACACCACAGACACACAGACGCACAGACACACAGACAAGACAGACAATGAATCGATGCGCATCGTGCTCTTATAGCTTTTTGTTTCTGGCAGTGGTCGGGTCGGCGATGGAGGTCTTGGGTTGCAGCCAGTAGCTTTGTCGCCAGTGTGGCCCTCGCCGTTTCGAGCCCGCTTGCAGATGTGTCAAAGGCTTTGCAGATGAAGCAAAAAATGAAGCAAAAGGATGCAAAAGGGGTTCTCTTGAAAGATCCAGAAGATGAGCTTGAGCCCATATTGTAGAGATGTACTCCCATAGCTACAGCCCCTCCATCTACGTACGAACGTTAGTGCAGAGTCTGGAATCTTCAGCCATCCTATGTCTGGAACCTCCGCAGTTTGATCGTGAAGGCACGGAACTCTGAGGCTCCAAACCCTCAGACTGGTGAGGTGTCAGCTACACCCTCAGAAGCTGTTTTGCAGCTCCATTCTTTGTCTCTCTTGTGGCCGAAATGAAGTTGTGCTGCAATCAGTTGGGGGTCATTTAATGTTATTTTCACATGTCAATGGGACGGGTAGAGGACCCACTTTGTCGTTTGGCTCAAACCTGAAAGGGAACCTTCAAGATGGAACATGCCAAGCAGCTGCGTGGCATGAGAGTGCAGAACCTTTGAGCTCTACTTCCTTTGATCCTTGTGATCGGGCTGGACATAGGTGAACTACTGATTGAGGGTCCTATGGAAGGTGCTTCCTCACCTTGCAGTCTCCTGGCAGTTGTGGTGCAATGAATGGTTTGATTGGTACACATTGCCCTGTGCAATCAGGCCAGATGCTGAGGCAAGCTATGTCAGACTTGACGTAAGGATTCCTCGGAGGAGAACCCAGACTGCAACAACCAGAATCCCAAGTCTTTGCAGTTGAAGGGTCTGGGATGGTCTGGAACCCTAGCAAGTTGGACTTGCCATCGCCTGATCCAAAGCTTCCATGCCGAAGGCGGGTCAATGCAGGTCAACTCCCAGGCCATTGCCGAAGAGGGGTCTCGCTGATGTAGATGCGCTCCGTGAGGGTGCTGAACTCATAGTAACTGAGTAACTTTGTCTTCACCGCTGGGTTGCAACAAGCACTGCTGCACTTCAACCCTCGAGCTGATCCATGGGTCGTAAAACCATAGATATTCGTAGATCAAGACGCCTTGTGGGCAACACAAGTTACTTGATGAACGATTGGTTGAACTTAGGGCTGAGGCGAAGGGAGCTGCCCGTCCACATTTTCTGCGACGGACATCGGTTTTCCATGCCTATCCTTCAGCGACAAGCTGTTACGATCTGCAAAGATTGCCTGTACAGCGATGTGCGAAAGAATTACAGTTTTACTTTATTCGCCCAAAATTTCTTGGGGCAGCGGCTTGGCCAAGGTGTTCAATGATGGCCACGGCTCCTAGAGCAGCAATTGCGGCTTATATACTTTGACGCTTGACATTGCTTGGCTGCTTGAAGTTTGAGCGGGAAAACACATGGTTTAGCGGCCCCGACCACCTAGCCTTAAACAGTGTTCTTGATATTTTTGGTGCTCTCGCGGGCGGAGTGTCAGTCTGGAACTTTGAGTGTTGGTATCATTCTGCAGAATTTGGCACGCTGATCCCAGGTGGTGATGCCAGCTGCCTAGCCTTTTTAATGCTGGAAGTCTTGAATCTCCTGGTCGAAGTATGTCGAGACATGCTGCAATTGGTGAATCTAAAAGTAGACTTTCTGCTCAGAGTGGCACCCCTGCTGAATGCTTCAGAAGTAGGGATTCAGTTTTGCACGCGCTTGAGGCTCAAGCCATTGGCAGCTGGCCATTTGGAGGCCAATCCACTAGTGACGTGAAAGCAGTGTCAGATGTGTCAGGAGACTTTGGCATTGGCAAGACCTAGCTGACCTAGCTCCCAATATGCCATATTGATCCGCATTGAAGCGATTGAATGATGTGCTGCTTGATTTAGTTGCAATCATGCAACGCATTTGAGGCAGGCTCTCATTGCCTTCTTGTCGTCGACATTTGGCTCTAGAGTGCCAAGAGCAACCATGTTTCACCGCCGATCTCTTTTGCCCTTGCAGGCCATACACAGAGACTTCATAGTTTGAGGGTGACCTTTGTGACCTTTGCATTGGCGATATTTGCATTTGATTCGATGGGTTCTCGTTTGAAGCCTTACATCCTACCACTTATATACGTAGCCTGCAGAAACTTTCCCGATATATCTCTTGCCACAAACTCCCAAGATCTTCCATGTGCCAACGCAGCTGCACGAGGTCATTGATTTAAAAGTACGCACGTGCACACGCACAATCTATATAATGTCTTTACATACTGTAAATTAAATCATATAAATCTATTTGTCAATCTGTCTTTCAACCTCTCTCTCTCTCTCTTTCTATATATACACACCCATACAGTCTATACCTATATTTAATACCTAATACCTATTACTAATACCTAATACCTAATACCTAGTACCTATACCTATCTATAATTATGTACATATCTATATCTATATCATCTATATCATCTATATCATCTATATCATCTATATCATCTATATCATCATGTATATCATCTATATCATCTATATCATCTATATCATCTATATCATCTATATCATCTATATCATCTATATCATCTATATCATCTATATCATCTATATCATCTATATCATCTATCATCTACATCATATATCTAAATCTAAATCCAAATCTATATCTGTATTTGCATCTATGTCTATATCATCTATATCTATATCTATATTTTTGTCTATATCTATATTTATAGCTATATCAATATTTTTGTCTATAGTATCTGTATCTATATCTATATCTGTATCCATCTGTCTACCCGAGTTTGAGTCACAATCTCAATTTTGTTGTTCTCAAAACTTAGCTAGTCTGATTAGATCTAAATAGACTTGATCTCACTACAATCCACACTAATCCGTTTCATTAATCTACAATCAATTTCAATCTGATGCGGCTTATCTTAATCTATCTAAATGTATCTGCATCTATCTTGATCCAGCTCAAGCAATCTGAATTCATCCCGATCTATCTGAAGCTATTTTGAACCAATTTTATCTAGCTTACACTATATCAATCTATTTTTTTCTAGCAACATTTCGCTTAATTCACCTTAGTCCACCTGAATCCACCTTAGTCTACCTCAAAGCATCTTAACTTGTTAAGCCCTGTTCAGCTATCTCTCGAGATATCTCTATCTCTCAATCCGTCTCTTAATCTATGTATCTCTTAATAATTGATCTACTCTTTATTTTTCGTCAGAGGGTCTCTTATTCTTTCTCTTAATCTATCTTTTGATAAATTTCTTGATCTGTATCTACCTCTTCATATATTTTTGTTTGGAGGTGCATCTTTCAGCACAACTTTTGCTCGGTATCTTGATGTACAGTATCTCTCTCTCTCTCTCTCTACCTATATCTTTTTCCCTCTCTTACGCTATCTCTTGATCTATCCCACACTCCATCTCTTACTTTTTGTCTTAATCTATCTCCGGATCTTTCTCTTAATGGGTTAACTTAACCCATCTCTTGACTCCGAACCTATCTCTTCACCTATGTCTTTAACTATCACTTAAATCTATTTCTTATCTATCTTTTGATGCATTTGTTGAGCTGTTTTCATGCATTTCTTGAGATGTATCTCAAGCTATCTCTAAATCTGTGTCTTGATCTAGCTTTAAAGCCATTTGTTGATCTATGTCTTGATCTATCTCTCTTTTTTCTCTTGAACAACGATGATCTCTTTCTTTTTTTTTCTCTCTCTCTCTCTCAATCTATTTCTTCTTTATATATCTATCGCAAAATGCATCTCTTGATCTCAACCAATCTTTTAATACATCTCTCAATCTAGCTTTTCATGTATCCTTTAAAGGATCATTTGAGATCTCTTTACCTTTCTACCTATCCATCCATCTACCTACAATTCCACTACATATCTAGCGGTTCATGTTATAAGTGGGGCTGGCGCCCCCATGCCGCCGACCCCTGGGACCAGTTGGCTCAAACAGTGCCGCAGCACTAAAACACCATGGCAGTGAAGGACGGATCGGTGCAAAACGTTGCTTTCTGAACGCCTAGAAACTAGCTGCAAGCCTTGCCTTTACCTGCCGTCCTGCACTGCCAGCTTCCAAATTGCTTGCTGCGTCTTGCAGATGGCTTTCGTCTGGCACAGCTCGGGTCCAAGGACGGTGCCGCAGCACTAAAACACCATGTGAAGGACGGATCGAGCCCGCGGCCGGCAGCCCAGAGCGCCAAACGTTGCTTTCTGAACGCCTAGAAACTAGCTGCAAACCTTGCCTTTACCTGCCGTCCTGCACTGCCAGCTTCCAAATTGTTTGCTGCGTCTTGCAGGTGGCTTTCGTCTGGCACAGCTCGGGTCCAAGGACGGTGCCGCAGCACTAAAACACAATGGCAGTGAAGGACGGATCGGGCCCGCGGCCGGCAGCCCAGAGTGTCAAACGTTGCTTTCTGGGCGCCTAGAAACTGGCTGCAAACCTTGCCTTTCCTGCCGTCCTGCACTGCCAGCTTCCAAATTGCTTGCTGCGTCTTGCAGGTGGCTTTCGTCTGGCACAGCTCGGGTCCAAGGACGGTGCCGCAGCACTAAAACACCATGGCAGTGAAGGGCGGATCGGGCCCGCGGCCGGCAGCCCAGAGTGTCAAACGTTGCTTTCTGAACGCCTAGAAACTAGCTTCAAACTTTGCCTTTACCTGCCGTCCTGCAGGTGGCTTTCGTCTGGCACCGCTTGAGTCCAAGGACGGTGCCGCAGCACTAAAACACGATGGCAGTGAAGGACGGATCGGGCCCGCGGCCGGCAGCCCAGAGCGCCAAACGTTGCTTTCTGAACGCCTAGAAACTAGCTGCAAACCTTGCCTTTACCTGAAATTGCTTGCTGCGTCTTGCAGGTGGCTTTCGTCTGGCACAGCTCGGGTCCAAGGACGGTGCCGCAGCACTAAAACACCGTGGCAGTGAAGGAAGGATCGGGCCGGCGGCCGGCAGCCCAGAGTGTCAAACGTTGCTTTCTGAACGCCTAGAAACTAGCTGCAAACCATGCCTTTACCTGCCGTCCTGCACTGCCGGCTTCCAAATTGCTTGCTGCATCTTGCAGGTGGCTTTCGTCTGGCACAGCTCGGGTCCAAGGACGGTCCCGCAGCAATAAAACACCATGGCAGCGAAGGACGGATCGGGCCCGCGGCCGGCAGCCCAGAGTGCCAAACGTTGCTTTCTGAACTGCCTATTTTCGAATTGCTTGAAAAAGGTTGCTTCTCTCACGCGCTCCCCCGCTACAGCAGGGTTCGGCGGATCACACACACACACACACATATATATATATATCTCTCTCTCTCTCTCTCTTCTCTCTCTTCTCTCTCTCTCTCTCTCTTTGAAATCAATGCATCCACATATTTTCACAGGTAAATACTACGCAAACACTTGACCGACATATTTGCATATGTTTGCAGCACATTGTCAATGTACCACAGCTGGCCAAAGTTAAAGGGCTCCTTGCCTATCGCGATGATTTTCTAGATGGCCATCGAGAAGGACCACCTTTTCCAGACTTTTTCACCTGTCGTGTTTGTTCACCTTTTTTCACCTCCCAAACTCGAAAACAGTGATAGTCTTCCCATCCTTTTGGCACTCGCCTTTGGTGCTTCATTTCCCAGGACTATGATGTCTTGGAGCGGTTGGGAGAAGGAGCTTTTGGAAAGGTGTACAAGGCGAGGCACAAGAAGACCGAGGACTGCAAGTTGGGAAGCAACAAATACACTGCATTTCACCTTTCGGTTCGGCATTTTCTCTGAAAGCTTGGCGTTTGCGCCGGTGTATTCCGCATACGCACAGCCAGCCTCTCAAAGCCATACATACCGTATATGTAAATAATAAATATAGATATAATAAATAAACGATATACACCGTGTATCAAAGTGTCTGATATCGTATCACCTCAAATTCCAATGCTGGAAATGCTAGAAACTCTGAATTGTCGAGGAGCTTGTGGCCGTGAAGCAGATCAAATTGGGCGCTAAGAGCTGGGATGAGGCTTGCAAGTCAACAGAGTTGGCGGCTTTGCGACAGATGCTCGCCCTAAAGTTTTCATGGATTCATGTTCAATCTTTGCGACAATGGAGTGACATGCCATGCTTGTTTGTTTGCGCACCCGTGGTTGAGATCTTTTCTCGTTTTGGTAGATTGTTGTCGCGTTGTATGGGCTCGATGGTGTGCGACGATGCCGTGACATACCACTTCCAAAGCTCAGCAGCCAGAAACCATCATCCTGGAAATATGTGAATAGTCATGAATAGTCCTGTTCATCGATGCTCTAGGATGCTAAGTCTGAGCAATTCAGATCTGTTGAACTTACCTGCCAGCTTGCAATTTACCTCACCGTTCATGATTAGAATCATTGGATTTGATTGGGCATATCAAACTTGATTCGCTTGGCTGATCATCTGGCCAAGGCTGCGACATCCCTTCATTGTGCGCTTGAAAGAGTTGCTTCGTAACCAGCTTGATGGAAGCTTGTAGCCAAGCAGCAAATGACCAGTGTACTCGATGCCAACGTTGGCCAGGCCAACCCTGCAAGCTTTGCGCATTTCTGGCGTTTGCAGCTGGGAACTGGCTGCCCTTCAGACTAGTCAGCGCCAAGGTATTACATCTTCGAGTATGTGGACAGCGATTTGTTTCGACTCGTGCGGCGTGGGCCCCGACTCAGTCACTGCACTTTGGGTAGGATACTCATGGACTCTGATCCATCCACAGACGGAACAGACTCGAATAGACTCTTTCATACCCTTTCTATACCATTTGGCCTTTATGAGTTTCTTTTGGAACCTTTCTGATCTTTCTGCTGTGGGCTGCTGGCTTCTGCAATGCATCATGGTCTGGGTTATTGTCCTGAGGCAAAATCCATCTGGACTGGAAGAGTCCTTTGGAGCGGTCTTGGCCCGGCAGCTTTTTGCAGGCACCATAGGGCACAGTGTAAAGACTTGCAGCATCTTGAAGCAGAGAGGCGATGCGGAGATGCGCCACCGTTTGGATCATTTTAAGCTGCTGACCAGAAGATTCAGAGGTAGCCAAAATATGCCAAAGTAAGTCGGTTGTGAAGACCTGACCCTGAGTTGTGGAGGTTTGGCCCACATCCACCAGCACAACTTTTTTCACCGCTCTGACCTCAGCGTGGAATGAATGATTTGCTTTGTCCTGAGCTGTGCATTGTATGTGTATGTATTTGTGGCGGGCGCTTCTTCCTTTTGCATCTGTTTGGGACATGCCAGGTGATATAAAGCCAGAGAACATTCTGTACGAAACCTCTCGGCAAGTTCTGCGCATTGCGGATTTTGGCGAGTCGCGGTCGCTCCGTGCAAGGTCAGGTGGTCTTGAGAGTCCATCACAACTTGTCATCTTAGTCCGGTTCAGAAGCTTCAATTTTATCACGCGAAGCAGGCCCCCTTTCACAGACTACGTGGGGACTCGTTGGTACCGTGCACCTGAGTGCCTGCTGCGAGACCGTGGCTATTCCTCTCCGGTGGATGCTTGGTCAAAACATCCTGCGCAGTTCCTTCACGCACGAGATACATGAATTCATGTCAAGTGAGCGCGATGGATGCACAGGCGCGCACACACACACACAGCAAGAACATTGGCACCTGCACATTGATATAATTGATGTACGTATTCAACATTCTGATTTCCTCGCATAGACACACACGCACACACACACACACACGCACACGCACACACACGCACACATGCACACACACATATATATATATTAAATAAATAAATAAATATATATATATATATTTTGAATTATATATATGTATGTATGTATGGATGGATGGATGGATGGATGTATGGATGTATGGATGTATGGATGTATGGATGTATGGATGTATGGATATATGCATGCATGCATGTATGTAATGTAATGTATGTAATGTAATGTAATGTATTGTATTGTATTGTAATGTAATGTAATGTATGTATGTATGTAATGTAATGTAATGTAATGTAATGTAATGTAATGTATGTATGTAATGTATGTATGTATGTATGTAATGTATGTAATGTATGTATTGTATGTAATGTATGTATGTATGTAATGTAATGTAATGTAATGTAATGTAATGTAATGTAATGTAATGTAATGATGTATGTATGTATGTATGTATGTAATGTATGTAATGTATGTAATGTATGTAATGTATGTAATGTATGTAATGTATGTAACGTATGTAACGTATGTAACGTATGTAATGTATGTAATGTATGTAATGTATGCAATGTATGCAATGTATGGAATGTATGTAATGAATGTAATGAATGTAATGCATGTAATGTATGTAATGCATGTAATGCATGTAATGTATGTAATGTATGTAATGTATGTAATGTATGTAATGTATGTAATGTATGTAATGTATGTAATATGTATGTAATGTATGTAATGTATGTAATGTATGTAATGTATGTAATGTATGTAATGTATGTAATGTATGTAATGTATGTAATGTATGTAATGAATGTAAATGAATGTAATGAATGTAATGAATGTAATGAATGTAATGAATGTAATGAATGTATGTATGTATGTATGTATGTATGTATGTATGTATGTATGTATGTATGTATGTATGTATGTAATGTATGTATGTATGAATGTAATGTAATGTAATGTAATGTAATGTATGTATGTATGTATGTATGTATGTATGTATGTATGTATGTATGTATACACACATGCATAGACACACACATTCACAGACACACACACACATATATATATAAACTAATTATATACACCTTTGCATGTATGATATATGTGTACTGTAACGCATTTTAGATGATAGAAAATATGTATTTGAGATATTTGAGACACAAGGCTAGCAGGATGTGAAAAGACATTTTCTTGTCCCACTGGCTTCTTGACATGGCAATTGCCTTGAGTTTGGACAGCCGAGCATGTGCCTTGCCCCGTGCGCTTCTCCCTCCGCACGAAACGTCGCAGATGCTGTGCAGACATCATCTTGCTACAAGACCTTCCTATACATCACACCGTTCCCCACCGGTTTCCACACTGCTTGTACCTCTCTAATGGCTCAGCAAAGACAAGAGCGCTCTGTCTTGCCTAGGATGTGTGGTCAGGCGGCCTCGTTTTTGCAGAGCTCCTACGTGGATCGCCTGTGTTCATGGGCACCTCCAGCATTGACCAACTCTACAAGATCTTTTCTGTCCGGACCACAGCCATAGCTGTTGAGCGGCTTCAATCAGCACTTTTTTTCATTTTTCTGCTCCCTTCCGTTTTTCAACCGATGAGAAGTTGTTGTTGGTGGTTTGGGTTGGTGCTTTGGACTTGCAGGGAATCCGCAGACTCCAAACCACCAGCCCAAACCACCAATTAGCAATTGAGTCCCTGCAGTCCTGCAAAAAGTTCTGCGATACTTGAGTTGAAGTCAATTGATGGTCGTGCAACACTTGTAGGGCCTACTTTAGCAGACAAATGATTTTGGTTTCCAGCTCTCGGCTTGCTCCAGGTTCTTGGGCAACCAGTGGCCGACTGGCCAGACATGGCCTCAGCAATGCTACATTGCTGCTACATGTTCTAATAGTAAAGCAAATACAAGCTGACCGTGTCCGACTATGAACGTGTCAAAGTGCATCCCAGTGGAAGTCAAATTCTACATTACTGTCCTGTTTTGTCGTCAACTTTGAATTGGAAGTTAAAATCCAATGTGCTTTGCCTGCGGCGCGCAGTGATGTGGAAAAGACATACATCTGAAAGATGCTTGCATATAAAAAAATGCAATGATAGGAACTTATTTTGTCTGCACTCCGTGCTCAGGAGTTTGCACGCCTGGCAGAAGCTTGTCGCTTTCGAGCTACTTCATCCGGGAGCGGCCTACAGTAGCTTGTTGTAAAACCATGCAAATTGGTGGACAAATGTGGACAACCACCACTGTCGCATGTTTTCAATGCTGAGGTCTGTGCTGCCTCGCACCTCGAGCCGTGTTTTGGTACAAAAAAATGGAACATTCGGAACAACTTTCGCATATCGAGCCGTGTTTTGAACATTTCTGATGAGGGTGCTGAACTCCATGCAGCTCCCATCATTCCTGTCACTCAAGTGGGCTTTCAGCAAAGGAGCTGGCTGCTGGCTTGTTCCATCTTGGTCCATCTTGTTCCTTTGTCTTTGTCTCTGTCTCACAGGATTCACCAAAGATGAGGTGCAGTGGCAATCCTTTCGGAGATTCTTATGCTGAACCCTCGACGGCGGCCCATGGCAAAGAAAGTCGCTTAGTTTGCAACATGGAGATGCATAGGGAGGTTGAAGGCCGAAGGCCGTTGAAGGCTACCAAGAAAGGTCCAAGGATCACTTCAGCCGACCATCTTGGACACTAAATTAGGGGTGGGGACTGGGGTACAGGGACTTGGGGGACTTTGGGTGTGAAGTACGATCTAGGGCAGGCTTGGACCCATTGGATACACACCTTTAGCCTTTAGGTTTCATTTGAATGTCCTGACATGTGAAGATATGATATATGGATGTATATATATATACATGGACGATATATCTTGGTATACGGTATGCCTGATTATATCTGGATCCATGCATGCACCACGTTTGAGCTCTTCATCTATCACGCAGGCGCAAGCGAACCAAAAAGTAGACTAAGAAATGCAAGAATCTTTATCAAGAATTTGTGGCAAAGGTAGGCGAAATATGGCGAAATTGCAGCCAGGTCATGGAGCATAGCTTCTTCAACTCTTTGCCGCTTTTGGAGCTGGATCGCTTGGACACTGCGCGCTCGTGTGTTCCTTGTCTGAATATGAAGGTCGGCCAATGTCAAACACGAGGCCAACCCTTCAGTCGCCAACCAATCCGAGCTGAAACTGCTTGATGTGATAGTCGTAGTGATATTGTATCCCGTGGACCATTTTCTTGCCGAACTGAGGGAACTTCTACTTCCACCATAATGAACTACTTGCCAGAGCGAAGCGATTCTCGAAACTCCTTTCAGTTCACCGACTTGCACCAGGCCAAGATGTCAGCAGTTTCGTGCTGAGTAATGATGGCTTCTGCCAGCCTGTGCGTCTAAGAAAGAGCAGACATTTTTTTGAAAGTATAATTTTTGCGCACAATTGTGCTGATTACAGTAAGGACGTTTCATTTTAAGGTACATTGAACTACTGCATGCACAGGCTGCATGAATATTCAGCAAGCAGAGTGAGCAAATGCAACAAAGGCCATGAGCATGAAACACAACTTCCTTACTCACAGATCTCTGAGTCCTGACATTTAAATATGCACGTACAGATTGTGCTGGGTGTGCAGGTGATGTGTCGTAAAAATTACTGCTCTGAGACGAGTGATTGGAGTGAACATAGATTCCCCCTTAAATAGAGCATCCTTGCCCTGTTCTTGGGCGGAAAGCTCGGAAGCGCTGCACCCAAATTTCCCAGCTTGGCTTGACTGCCCACAATCCTCCATGGTAGCTCTTGCTTTGTCAGCTCCATCTTTGTTTTGCCCACTTTGGCGCCCCGCTCTGTCTTGCTTCGTTTACATTAGCTATTCTGACGGAGTTAATTTTTCCCAGCGTGCTCTCGAGATACAGATACTGTACCTTTGGGTCAAGACTTATTGTCACTGTCAAATCAAGTCTGGCAATTCCAGAATGTGGCGGCAGTTTGTGACATCCTCCTTTTTCCAGCTGCTCGTCGTTACTCACCCAAAGCATTCCTTCACGTTCCTGCTAGTCACTATGCTTTGATTGATCCCTCTGTTTGCTCAGGGCTCGATGGATTTCGGACCGAAGCCACAGGCCTCGCAAACATGGATCGGACATTGATTGAACATGGATACAGCATGATATGATACGGCTACGGAGCTGTGGCTGTGTAGCTTGGTATTTGGGTTCCTCTAATTAATAGCTTTGGCTGCTGGCTGCTACTGGATGCTACTGGATACAGTGTTCCAGTCATGTTTTGGTGGATGTTATGGGTGTCCAGGTGATGTTCCTTGTCGTTTGGTTGCTGTTACTCTGATCTTTTGCAGGTCTCCAGGCCAGAGACACCCAATTTGCCGATGTGCCCACCGAGCCGACCCAAGAGTGAGGCACGGAGAGACACCAGGGATCGGTGTTGGAATCAGGCCAGCCATTTTTGGTGTTCCTGCACTACTCTGTGAGTCATACACACATGAGTACAAAATAGTACATGCACACCTCATTCATATGAAACATCACCTTTCGATGGTCCCAAATGTGTCTTTATCACACATACACACACACACACACGCACACATATGTATATACATACAGTACACGTTATCATAGCCGAAGGAAGTTTAGAAGTCAAACTTCCGACAGTATGGACAGATGGAAAAGCACAGGTGGGAAGAGCCAGAGAAGAGAAGAGAAGAAGAGAGAAGATCAGAGAAGAGAAAGAGTCAGAAGAAAGAAGATCCAGGTGTGCGAAAAGATAGGAAAGTTGCAAAACACTGTGTTTTTCCAATGATTTGTGGCTCCGGAGGGTCAAAAAGTAGGCTCGCTAACAAGCCAAAATGTACAACACACACACACACCATGCACGGACCACTTTTGGAAGTTGAGATGTCAAAAAAGTGCACGCCGTTGTGGTGCGAAGCACATGTCGAAGTCAAAGGTGCAAAAAACTAAGGGGTACGGAGCATTTTTGAACGTTCAGATGTCGTTTCACGTGGCAGGCGCAGGGGATTGTGCACCTTGTCAAAAGTGAGCAAAACGTGAGGGTTTTGTGGCAGTTTCAAAAAAAATGGCAGGCGTGGGACATATGCAGAGGATCTGGCAAGATGCATTTCGCGTAGCTGTTAGGAGGTCAGGGCGCTGATTTCCTGAGAGGGGTTGCATTTTGGAGCATCAGATCCTGAGGTTTGCTGAGATGATTTTGCGCGACAGGTGCAGCACTTCGTATGATCTGGCATCAATTTTTCGTGGCAGGCGCAGCACTTTCGACAGATGGAGTGGAAAAATCGCAACACGCATTGGTACGAGGCCGTCAGCTCTGCACATTTTTGACGGATGCCTCGCAGAATTGTTTCGTTTTTGATGTTGCCAACTTCGAAACGTGAGGAAATCTCGCAGAATTGTCTGGTTTTTGATGTTGTCAAGGTCAAAACTGAGGAAGTCTCGCCGACGTTGTGAAGTTCAAAAATTGAGAAAGCCTCGCAGAATAGCTTCGTTTTCAAACTTGCCGATAGACTGATAGATAGACAGATAGATAGATAGATAGATGGATGGATAAATAGATAGATAGAAAAGAATAGATTAGATTAGATTAGATTGGATTGGATTGGATTAGATTGGATTGGATTAGATTGGATTGGATTAGATTGGATTGGATTAGATTGGATTGGATTAGGTTGGATTAGATTAGATTGGATTAGATAGATTAGATAGATTAGATAGATTAGATAGATTAGATAGATTAGAAAGATTAGATAGATTAGATAGATTAGATAGATTAGATAGATTAGATGGATTAGATAGATTAGATAGATTAGATAGATTAGATAGATTAGATAGATTAGATAGATTAGATCGATTAGATAGATTAGATTAGATTTTGATTTGATTTGATTTGATTAGATAGATTAGATAGATTAGATAGATTAGATAGATAGATAGATAGATAGATAGATAGATAGAGTAGATAGATTAGATAGATTAGATGGATGGATGGATGGATGGATGGATGCATGGATGGATGGATAGATAGATAGATTAAATTAGATAGATAGATTAGATAGGTTAGATAGATTAGATAGATTAGGTAGGTTAGATAGATTAGATAGATTAGATAGATTAGATGGATTAGATAGATTAGATAGATTAGATAGATTAGATAGATTAGATAGATTACTCCCCCCTAAGAGTAGATGGCTCAGAATCTTGAGTTGCGCCATCTATGTAACAAAAAAATGGGGGATAGATGGCACTCCCTTTAAAACAGCTCAGTTGAGCCATCTATGTCCCTAAAAATGACATATTTTTTGCAATCTTCTGCGCTGGTTTCTCCCCATATTTTTTTCTCAACATCGAATCAAGCTGCTTTTTTGGGACATAGATGGCTCAACTCCCACTCATTCGCCAAAATCAGGCTGCGAATGCCCACATAGATGGCGCAACTCCCTCATATCTGGCCCGGACATGACCCAAAAACAGTGGGGCTCTTTTGGGCGTTGATTTGGCGTAAAAGAGCCCGTTTTTTTGGCCAAACATGGGCTCAACATAGGCTCAACATAGAAGGCTATGTTGGGCCACTTGGGGCTCTGTTGGCGGCTTTCGGGCCTAAAATTTCAACCCCAACGGAAGCATGGTTCCGTTGAGGTTGAATTTTGGGTCGGTTTTGGGCTTATGTTGGGCCATTTGGAGGCTACAAAAAACCCGCGTAAAATTTTATTGGTTTACGCGGTTTTTTTTGGGCGCATTTTGGAGCCTTCTTGGGCTTATATAATCTCCTCTGTTGGGCCATTTTAGGGCTATGTTGGGCTCTGTTGGCGGCTTTCGGGCCTAAAATTTCAACCCCAACCGAAGCATGGTTCGGTTGAGGTTGAATTTTGGGTCGGTTTTGGGCTTATGTTGGGCCATTTGGAGGCTATGTTGGGCCACTGTTGGGCCATTTTAGGGCTATGTTGGGCTCTGTTGGCGGCTTTCGGGCCTAAAATTTCAACCCCAACGGAAGCATGGCTCCGTTGAGGTTGAATTTTGGGTCGGTTTCGGGCTCAAAACGGGCTCAAAATAGGCTCAAAACGAGTTGCGCCATCTACCTTCTCATTTTTAAGTAGGGTGATTGTTTTCAATTGGCGGAACTCGTTTTATGTTCCAGCTAAAATAGCGCCGTTTTCTTTCTCACCGCGCGGTGCCATCTTATGGGTATGTTGGTTTTGGAGTTGCGCCATCTACTTTTAGGGGCGTATAGATAGATTAGATGGATTAGATAGATTAGATAGATTAGATAGATTAGAAGATAGATAGATAGATTAGATTAGATTAGATTAGATTAACTAGATAGATAGATAGATAGATAGATAGATAGAGTAGAGAGATAGAGTAGATAGATTAGATAGATTAGATAGATTAGATGGATGGATGGATGGATGGATGGATGGATGGGTGGGTGGATGGATGGATGGATGGATAGATAGATAGATAGATTAGATAGATTAGATAGAATAGATAGGTTAGATAGATTAGATAGATTAGATAGATTAGATAGATTAGATAGATTAGATAGATTAGATAGATTAGATAGATTAGATAGATTAGATAGATAGATGGATTAGATAGATTAGATCGATTAGATAGATAGAAGCATAGATGGATAGATAGACAGATAGATAGATAGATAGATAGATAGATAGATTAGATAGATTAGATAGATTAGATAGATTAGATAGAGTAGATAGATTAGATAGAGTAGATAGATTAGATCGATTAGATCGATTAGATCGATTAGATCGATTAGATGGATTAGATAGATTAGATAGATTAGATAGATTGGATACATTAGATAGATTCAATAGATTAGATAGATTAGATAGATAAGATAGATAAGATAGATAAGATAGATAAGATAGATAGATAGATAGATAGATAGATAGATAGATAGAAAGATAGATAGATAGATAGATAGGTAGATAGATAGATAGGTAGGTAGGTAGGTAGATAGATAGATAGATTAGATAGAAAGATAGATAGATAGATAGGTAGATTAGATAGATAGATAGATAGATAGGTAGATAGATAGATAGATAGCTAGCTAGATAGATAGATAGATAGATTAGATTAGATTGATAGATTAGATTAGATTAGATTAGATTAGATTAGATTAGATAGATTAGATAGATTAGACAGATTAGATAGATTAGATAGATGGATAGATGGATAGACGGATAGGACCATTTGTCAAAAATAGTTGTTTAGAAGTTTAGTATTGGTTGTTGATAATTCATCTGGGTCTACTATTTTTGCCTCTTCGTTATGAGGCGGCACGCAACTAAATTCGGCAATTCTGCAAGGCAGCGCTAGCAAACCCGCTAGGTTTGCGCTAGCTTTGATTGACAGCCATGGCCTCCATGTCGTGAATGTCTTGCCAGCTTTTCTTACAAGTCTGTCAGTTTCCACATATTCCCAAATTTTCGATTTTTTTACGTATTTTACGCGCTAGATCGCCGCTAGCAACGCGCTAGCGAAAATTGCAAATACATGCCCCGGTCCACCCGCAGCCCATTCAGAGGCACAGCCATGTTCACGCTTTGGTAGCTTACAGTAAGGAAACAGCGTTGATCAGGAGGCATGTCAAGAAGCATATTGCATTCAGAGAGGCACACACACAGAGAGACACACAGTTCAGGAGATAGTACCAGCGACAGCGAATGAAAACCGACGTGCGTTAGCCGATTCCTGTGGTTTTGGAAAGATTTCCAGAGGTAACGAAGAATTTCCACGTTTTCACCTCATCAAGGTAGGTCATGTTTTTTAAAGGCAAACATGAGGCGGCACGCATGGAATTGCGATTTATCAACAAAACCGGGAACAGACATTTTGACAAACCGTCATAGATGTATATATGGATAGATGGATAGATGGATAGATGGATAGTTGGATAGATAGATAGATAGATAGATTAGATTAGATTAGATTAGATTAGATTAGATAGATTAGATAGATTAGATAGATTAGATAGATTAGATAGATTAGATAGATTAGATAGATTAGATAGATTAGATAGATTAGATAGATTAGATAGACTAGATAGATTAGATAGATTAGATAGATAGATTCATAGATAGATAGATAAATAGATAGATAGATTAGATAGATTAGATAGATTAGATAGATTAGATAGAGTAGATAGATTAGATAGAGTAGATCGATTAGATAGAGTAGATAGATTAGACAGATTAGATAGATTAGATTAGATAGATAGATAGATAGATAAATAGATAGATTAGATAGATTAGATAGATTAGATAGATTAGATAGATTAGATTAGATAGATAGATAGATAGATAAATAGATAGATAGATTAGATAGATTAGATAGATTAGATAGATTAGATAGAGTAGATAGATTA